AAGCCCTTCAAATCAGGTTTAATAATAGCTTGATTTAATATTAATATTTTACAGACACTGAACAAGAAATTACAATAGAAATTAATATTATTACCTGATAAAGAATAATCGTTTCTGCGACTTTCACTATCACGTATCAAATATGCACCATGTTCATTTTCAGGAGACAGTAATTTCTTTTCAGCTTCAACTCTTTTAATTTTACCAAAATACCACCTAAAACACAAATAATACAAAGTTTAGTTAGAATTATGAGCAGAATATAGGTTGATTGGTACTTATACAAAGGGTTCGAACTAGTGCTGGGTCATCTTCACAATGGCAAGCTTTTACAAACTGCGATAGCCACCATTCTTGCATCATGGAATCCAGAGATTTGATTGGATACAATAGCCAATACAGGCAATCAGAGTCCTTGACAGAAAGTCTGTAATTGACACGCAATAATGTGTTTTAGGCTGTAACATATTTTTTTGTTATGCCCAATGTTGTAAATTATGTGATATAATGTGTGGCATTGCCAGCTCTTGTTTGAACAAATCTTTTCCTTCTCACAAAAGAAACCATGAAGTTCTGCTTCTAACACATTTTCACGTTTAAGGCATTTAGTAATGAATTTACTGCCTTTGATCAAATTTTTAAAACCAAGCTTAATCAAGGTACTTAATCAAGGAATAAGAATAATTCAGCATCAAGGTTGGATATTGTGCATTACGTTACGTACAGATTTCAATCAACCTCCACTTATCATTTTCCGAAAGATAGGTTAACTATCAAAAAAACAGAACTACACAAAAACTGTCAAATATCAATGGTATGACAATATCCAAATATTTTAACATATTTCTCAAACTTGACATTATATCAACATGATAACATGTTGACCTTATACCTAATAACCTCTAATAGAATGGCATTGTGTGTCTGGTTTTGAATAACAAAGAACTTGTTTTAATACATTTACTATTGTTCCTTATGATAAGATTTATTTTTCCATTTTATATTTCAATGAAATATTGTCTTCTGACATGATGTTAGTATAAAATGGCGTAGTAAAAGTTTACAAACTGGATTTTAAACTAAAGTAGTACATGTAGAACATCTGTTATAGGCAAAGATCAAAATACAAACTACATTCCTATATAACCTTTCTATGTTATTTTCATTTAAAACACTATTCTATCTTACACAGGCTTTTAATATTGTATTTCATTACTTAGAACGAAATATAAAATTCCATTTCACAAAGTACTGAGAGAAATGACTTAAACAATCACCAGCTACCCTAGAATCCAGACTTAACTTCAGACCTTATCCATATTTTTGATTATGTTTGCTGTCATATTAGTATTATTTCCTTATTAGTCAGATTTTGTGCTTCTTTTACACTTTTGCTGAACATGTACCTATAGAAATTAACAAGAAATAATAAAGATAGCTTTAGATTACCTTGTACCATGAACAATACGTAAAGATTTTCTGGAAGATTTAGAACTCATCTGTTTAAACATGAAATACACCTGCATGATCACATAGGAAGTAAAGAGGTTAAAAAATTGATGCCCATATCAAAAACTAAATAGAAATCATAGGGAAGTTCACATGATACTTTATTTGAATGCTAAAATATAGCTTGTATCATTTGATATAGTTATTATGTGTAGGACAGTGACATTTTTCTACTTGAATTCTTGATATAAGCCTACATTTAGGTTCTAATTTACAAGTAATAGTTTCTCTAAGCTTATCTTATTCAGGATCTCCTTAATCAATATAGGCATTCATCTTTTTTATCTTAGAAAATTAACATAATAATATTTACAAAAAGGTCTGCATGTGAGTTTAGTATTTATCTGTCTACTTCAGACCAACATAAAAGAAAATTCTGGACCTATATATATCACAAAACATAAAAATTTTCTTGAATAACTCTGTGATGATTTTGGAATACCTGTTATAAGCTTAGAAATTATTATGGGGACAATTTATGATAATCTTTAAAGGGATTGTAAAGAGGTTTTCTTAAAATTTTATGTGTATAGGGGAAACTAATAGCATCAATATACGGCATTCTAATTTTCAATCAGACGTCTGCAATTCCACTATTTGATAAAGTCACTAATAGAGAAGAGCCTTATGTGATAAGGCATATTTTACAGCTTGTGGCATCATCACCACTTAGTTTGCAGGAATAGCAGAAACCACAGACGTCTTATTGAAAACTGGAATGGTGCAAATTGGTATTATCAGTGTCCCTTATACACATTGTAATGATTGTCAAGAAACAAAAAGTCAACTGATTTCAAATGCAGTAAATCAAATATTTTGGACTTGCTTTATAATTTTCTCACACATCAATACACAGTGGACAATATTGACAGCATTAAGGTCAAAGTAAACATTAAATCATAACAGTTCAGTTAATGTATTTTAATGACTAACAATAAAATATTGCTAAGTCTTGACCACTCCATCATTATAATATACCAAATTATTCACCTCAAAATACTGCATATCTTATTTTTTATAAAAAAAAAAACTTTAAAAAGTGCTTACTTTGATGACAGAAACTAGTGACAGAAAAAGCTTTTACAAGAAGAAATGCCAAAGTCTTAAATCAATAAGAGAATAGAAGACTGTAATCAGAGTCTGAAGTCAAGAGAATTATTAGTCACCAATTATTCAATATTCCTAGTCTCAATTACATCAATTATCACACAGAACCCAAAACACACTCATTTTTAAACCTTCATATCATTCATTATTCATAAGTTGGCATTAGTTCTTCTATAGGATTCAAGACTTTCACAGCAAGACAATTATCAATATTATGATGTTTGTTACAGTCAAGTAACCTAATTTCGTGGAAACCTATTATTCGTGGATTTCCAGAAAGGATAAACAATTTACATGAGCGACCTTGCGCGACCTCCGCATTAGTTTGTTTTGATAAACATGGGTTTTCTCTACAATATCAGTTAGTAGAATGAATCCAGTAGTTTCAAGCAAGGTAAAATGTATTAATGTATACTTTGACAAATACAAAATGGCGGATTTCAGTTATTACCAAACGTCACCATTTTTTATCGGTCGAATTTCCTTATAATCCCAAGCGGTAATCGGAATTCCAAGTGTCGTCTGCTAGAATGTAGTCCAACGAATGAAGTCACGTGATCAACTAGCAGATTTCGCGTCAGCAGAAAAGAACACAAAGTGGACCGTATTCTTATGTTATTTCACTGACTTTTAGCAATAAATCACGCTACGTATCTTATTTTTTCAGTCACAATTTTTTTTTTAAAATCGTGGTTCTTTGAAGGAATTGTCACTAGTTATAATGAATTGATATTAAAGATAAATACTAAGAGAAGTTAATTATTCCACCCGGTATCTATACAACGTATTTTTCTCGACTTATTTATAGATCAAACATTGTACACGAAAATAGGTGGCGCATTCTGCCGCCGTTACCGAGTTGGTTGCTCATAAAATATGGGTCAAAGTGAAGGATTCATTAAGAAAATCGAAATAAACCAATTTTAATTATTTTGTAGAATATCTGAGGACACTTCTAAGACATAAAATTTTTTTTTGGTTTTTTTAACGAAATTCGGTGTTGAATCCTTATATTCACGAAAATAGGTTACACCACTGTACAATTCACCTTTTTTCTGATGTTTAGCACAATGTTTAAAACATACGTTTGGCAAATTTAAAGTTTTCAATACTTACGGTTCAGATTCTAAACTCTTTATTTTGGCAACATAGTTGGACGGGATGTAACCTTCAGATTTACTAGATTTCGACTTAGCATACCACCAATCGCCTTGTGTATCATTCAATATTTCCAAATGCTCTCCTTTCCTGAAACTCAGATCTTCATCAGTTCTGGCATCATAATCATACAATGCCACAAACACTTTACCACTAGTAGCCACAGATGGTTCTAATGACAAGTCTGATTGATGTGGAGATGTAGTGAGAGATGGTGTAGCTGTTGCTGGGGCTGTATTTGCCAAAACGGCAGCCTGACCTGTTGTATTGGCACCATTTTCAATTGGTCGCTGAGGAGTCAATTCACTCACATTGTTCTGTAAATAAGGATTTGGGTGTTTTCCACAACAATTCCCCATTGTCTTACACCAGCATTACAAAGTATGTGAAATGTACACCATAATAGAATAATAATACATCCGTCAGAATGTCTTGAAATTTGTGTATTTCGACATCAAGGAATTTCACAAGTTATTGATTTTTTGACAGCAACATTGGTCTCGGCCACATCAATCAAACTCGTTTAGCCTCATATACACCAATATTAATACGCTTCATGCCTGGTTATTCATATACCAATTATTCTGGATAATGTAAATTCTAACAACAATCCATTATTAATTTCATTTGTGTTCCGCGAATTCTAAGATTGAAAAATATGACTGAAGTATAGAGTATCACTACTGTAAATAATGATACGGAACTATTTTGTCTAGAAACATTTTATTAGAAAGTGGAAAATAGTTTCGTTAATAGTAGCAATGTAATCTATGATTACATTGGCCAGTAGAAAAGGGGATTGGGTGATGGAAATGGATTAACCAATCAAATAAAGGTTTACAAAGTATACTCAGTGGCAAACTCTGTTGTTCTCTATCCCCATTTACTCTGACATACTTTTAAACGCGATGTTCAGAAAAACCTTATGAAAACGGGCAATGTTATGGAGTAGGCCTATACAGTGAAGGAAATTTTGTTCACAGCGACATTAGGCTAGCCTGCTCGTTTAGAATAAACTTTAAATTTAATTTCGGGCTTAAACACTAAACATCAATTCATTATCTATTCCAATGTGCGAGTCGAAGGTACATGTTAATTCATACAGTGATTACGTGGTCAAAGGGGTGCAACTGATGATTATTTGTGGTCTCGGAAAGAGAGCCAATTAGAATTTGCCAAATAAATATAGATGGCGTTAATGATATAACTCTGGACACGCCCACCTGTTAGGACTTTATTTGGAAGTGACAATTTTTGTTGCAATAATTAGCGACTGGATTAAGAGATCAAATTATGATTTGTTAAATTAACATTGTATACAATTGTTATCAAATATCTCGGTGAGCATTAACAACTAGGCTAGTAGAACTGATTTGATATTTTGTTCTGCACTGCAGATCTCCAGTCTCAATCATCAAAATAAACAAATCCACTACAATTTGTATAATTGAACACATTTTTATAGAATACAAAACTGACCATGGCTGACGGAACAGGATTAGCAAGGGTTTTAGCCAAACCAGCTTTTGATGCAGAATCATTTGTTGCCAAAATAGCTGCATCAGGGGAAGACCAACTGTTAGATATGAAGCATAAGATGCAAATGCTAAATGATGACACTGCTCAGTCATTAAAGAAAAATGTGTACAAGAATTACTCACAATTTATAGAAACTGCCAAAGAAATTTCTATTTTGGAAGGAGAGATGTACCAGCTTAGTCATATGTTATCTGATCAAAAAATTCTCATGTCATCTATGATGGCAATGTCTTTAGTTAGTGATAAAGCTGTTGTTGAGGGTCCAAAAGATGAGGATGAAGAAAGTGAAGTGAATCCAGAAGAAGAAACAAGAAAGAACTTGGCATTTCTGTTAGACAAAGTAGAAGGGTGTTCCAATGTAGCAGAAGTACCAGGCCGTCATTTAATACATAATGGAGACCTTGTAGAATTAGATACAGAAAATTTAACACAAGTGCAACGGGTTCATGCCTTTCTCTTAAATGATAGCTTTATGATTGCAACATGGGTTCCTAACAGACGTGGTCCAGTCCGATATAGATTTCAAGGCTTATATGAACTAGACAGTTTAGCAGTTGTAAATGTGAGGGATGTAGGTTCAGTGAAGAATGCTTTCAAGATTTTAATGTTTCCAGAAACAAGGATGTATCAGACTGACAGTACTAAATCAAAACGTCAATGGTTAGATATACTAGATGATACTAAGAAAAAGAAAGCTAACAAAGATAAACAGAAGAAAGAAGCCAACACAAGACTTGCTGAACAACAGATTCAATCTCTAAACAATTCTACCTCAGAGAATGAGAAAAATAATCCATTTAGTGAGGAAGTTGAAGATGAACTAGAGTTTGAAGATTCTAGCTTTTTAACAGATGAGTGGCTGGAGCTCCCTGAAGATTTAGATATGTGCATTGCTCAGAGAGATTTTGAAGGTGCTGTGGATCTTGTGTCCAAGGTTAACAACTTTCTGAGAAATAGACCAAGAACACCTGCTGTCAAGGAATTTCGAGCCAGGATTGATCATAGAGTTAAACTACTGACAGATGGTTTAATGGGTGAATTACAAGTTTCCCCAGAAAGATCATTACGTGGTGGACCAAGAGCTGCTAGACGAGCTGTAACACAACTTATTAGACTGGGAAAATCATCTCAAGCTTGTGAACTGTTTCTAAAAAATCGAACTGCATTAATTAAATACAATATTAGACAGTTAAAATTTGAAGGCGCTACAACTTTGTATGTTAGATGTTTATGTGGTGTATTTTTCACTAGTTTGTCAGAGACAGCTAAAGAATTTTTGAAAGCTTTCCCTGATCATAATGGATGTTTCTCTGCATTTGTTGTCTGGTCAAAACATGAACTTCAAGCTTTCATTGGGACATTTTGTCGTCAAGTATTTGAAAGTAAATCAAGTTTAACCACCATTACAGATTGTGTATCTTTAGCAAAGCTTCATTGTCTGGAATTGAAAAGTATTGGACTGGATCTAAGTTTCTCATTGACAGGTATGTTAGAAACTCCATTACGTCAAGTTGTTTTGGAAACTCGAGATCAGTTAATAGAGGGTGTTAAATATCGTTCAACTGATGATCTATGGAGACCAATGAATCATCTCAATAAAAGGGATTGTGATAAATTTCTTGCAGAAATGTTGTCCAGTGGACTGGAAGCCATCAAGGAATGTGTTTATGATGAATGTTTTATAAGTTTAACCATGAACACCACTCAATTTTCCAAAAGTGTTCTCATTTTTGCAGAAGATCTTTTGAAGTTGTTTACAGTAGAGTGGGAAGAATTTATAGCTGATTGTTTAGCAGCTGTGTTTAAAGCACAAATAAACCACATGGAAACTTCTTTGAAATCAGATAGATTTGTAAATGATGAGAAATTTATTTTAAAGAATGCAAAGTTTATTTTAGAGAATGTTGTGGCATGTATTGAGAAACTTTATCAAGATTCTGATAAAACATTTCCTACTCAATTACAAAATATTAATGCTGAATATAGAAGATTGAAAACTATTTCTAAATAATTTACTGAAATATTTACAAATTTATATCTATTAATTATTAAATTGATAATATTGCAATTTGAATGTTTTAATTCATTAAGAATAGTAATATGGCCCTATTTTTCTTAGATCTTGTGTCTGTCACAAATATTTTTCATTCTATATTACCCAGTATGGCTCAGAAATCCAACAAAAATCAACATGATCTAATTCTGGATCCATTCAAGCTGTATGTGAACTGTTGGTAGACATTAAGCCTGAGTAACACCAGAATTTCTGTAGCAGAAAAGATCACATAGTGTACAACTCTGATTAACATGTTTTATTAGGTGCTGTTATAACATTTCTATTTCTATTTTATGAAAGATGTGTTATCCGGTCCACCCTTTTTATTGAGTTATCAAGGCAAATGGAGCTTTATGTCAGATTGTCAGGGGACAATCACATCCTGTCTGGTACTGAACAGTATCTCACGTTGAAATTTTCCAATATTTCCTTCTGTTCCTCTACTTTTGAGCTGGAGATTACAACTCGATTTAACCCAATAGCTTATTGGTCCAATTTATTTATTTTCTAGCAACAACACCAAGGGAGATAATTATCTAACCCATATTCTTGTTATCTGAGATTAAATATCTTATAATGATTCATGCACATCAATATATTCAATATAACTTATTTATATCTTGAACTAAAAAGTTCAAAATATCATTCAATAAGAGTTTTTCTATTTCGTAACTTAAAAACATGCGATCCTTCATTCAAACTCATAACTTGGCTTAAAATATCAACACTATCAAAAAATGTATTTTTATTTATACCCTTTTACATTTCACATCAATATAACATCCTAAATATTTCACTATCATTATTTCTTAGTCTTTTTCTGTTTTTTACTTTTGGATTTTTTACTTTCGGCAGACTGAGATTGTTGTGTTCCTATATGTAAAGCATGGCCAGTCTCTTTAATATGTTGAAATAATTTATTTCTAGTTGTAAAACTTTTCTGGCAAACATTACATAGTTGAGGTTCTTTGTTTGAAGTCTGAAATAAAAATAGGAATTTAACATCATAGAAATGTAACTTCCAGGCCATTCTTAAATGCAGTAATTACTGATTGTTGAGAAATTTTTTGAAAACTATCCAATATTAACAGGGCCATAGGCACCTGAGAATCTTTCCAAACTCTTAGGGGGCAGTGTTGTATGCGGTCAACGAGAATGCTGTTCGAATTGGCCTCAGATGTATGGCCCCCAGTTTTCACTTCCTACTGTACTGATAACTAAATGTGAGAATGTCATAGAAATTCATCATCATCATTTTCTGAAATCAGATTTATAATCAGTGATACTAATAGCTGCTGAATCTAAAACTATAGTTAAATACTATTGTTGGTGTTCTGAATGGAATAAGTAACACTGATTAACTATGCCTTGGAAGTGCTGGATATTTACCTGTTGCTGAGATGATTCATTATCAGGTAAAATTAAAGTGACACCATGTTCCTCTACTAATCTATGTAATATACCATTATTACTGGTATTGGTAGAATCATTAGTGACTGACTGACTAGACGTCTTCTACAAATCAAGAAAAAAAAATCAATCAAAAAGTAGGGATGCAAAAAGTACATAAACCCAGTAGCACAGTGACTTTAGATGATTTTGAAGGGTGAACACTAGGAACTTACTAGTAAGATAATTGGTGTATTCAATCAAAAATAATAGTTAGAAGTATCGCTAATATGGCAACTGAAAACATTTGCAATACATTTTGACTTAAATGAATTTGGTCACAATGTTTGTATCAAATGATGTATGTAGTAGTATATAGTTAATAATGAGCTCAGTAAGTTAATAGTCTAACCTGTTCAGCTGTGATGTCATCAATTTGAGGTGATAATCTTTCTTCAATATCTTCTTGCAAATCTTCCTTTTCTTCTTCTAATTCTTTTTTTATGTCACATTTCTACAATTATACAGAAATCAATATATATATTGAGATGATATTTTAGACATTTGGACAGAGTTTCTCCTTTTCCATAAAAAGTAGGCTAATGCTGCTGACACAAATACTCTAGTACTCTGGTGTTAAAAGGAAAGTTTCAATATCAACTGTGTAAGCTTTGTCATAGATATCTAAACCCCATTGCTCAGACATTGAAATTAAAATCAATAATTTTTGTAATTATCATGATGGTAATGGGAACTTATAATTATCTAGTAAAAGGATATCAAAATTAACAAACCTCCAATTCTGCTCTTTGCTGTCTTCTTTTTTTCTTCTGTTTCTTTGATAACCTACAATATAAAATTATATAGAAAAATATTATACTGACTATATAGCACTATTGTTTATAAAGAGATATCAAACATGCAATATAACAAAGTTAAAGATGAGGTTATTTTTAGGCTTAGTCAAGAAATGTTTTTTCAATAGCAAATGTCTGATCCACTCTGATCAAACTAATCTATTCAACTCAGCTTTTATACTTTAATTCATCATATAATATATCTACAACTTATGTATATAAAAACACCCTATTTTACTTAACTTTACTTGTTTTCATTATCTATAGACATACTTTGTTAAATATATAGTTTAAGACAATCAGTTTCAAACTAAATCATTTTAAATGAATACTACCTCTTAGAATAAACATAAAATTTAACTTTGCAAATATGTAGTAATTAGTATATATCATTGGACCTGCCTGATGTCATAACTTTACAGAATCCTTGTAAATGACAATAAATGTACAGTAACGACACTAGGGAAGTCAAATGATGAAAATACCGTACTCATTTTGGCCAAGTTTAACATTTTTTTTTTTAAATTAAGAGTAAGTATTTCTTTCAAAGAAAAATAAAGTCAGAGCTGCTTTAATCATTTTTACATTTTGATTCTTTTGAATGGAATTGAATTAACTGTGCTTTTCATATAACGAAAACTCAGAATTCATAAGATAATATAATAACATAATACACAAGAATTCACTGTTTCATTATTTTAAAAAAATAATGGTCTACTACACTACAACACCAAAACCATGAATGGTCTACTACACTACAACACCAAAACCATGTTTGGAAATTTGATATCACTACAACATTCTATTGTTTCCTAAAGATGACTGACAGCTTACATGTAACAAAATTCTACCCTTTGTTAACTCTTATTGGGAAAATTTCTCCAGGTTTTCTTTCACAGATGATAGGAAATAGTTGATCAAAGATAACTTTTTTTGCTAGAAGGAGTTACAATAGATAAATTTCAGGATATTTCAAGATACTGAGAGGAACCATGAAATTCAGATTAATTGTAATATTTCTATGTTTTGTAAACATTAAAAGTGTTCCTATAGAAATAGAACCTGAACAAGAAGAAGGAAGAGAACCTATAGAAGGTAATTTAGAAGAGAACCTACTACCACCTGGTAATACCAATAATAATAATAATGGTAATCTAACAGTAGAGGAAAGACTAGTAAATGTAGAAAGAAGAATAGCTATACAAGATCAGAAGATAAATCAAGTTGATGATCAGATGATGTATATAGTAGGTCAGTTATTTTTTCGTTTATAAGGGCTGGTACTAGACAGGGGTGGGGCTTTAAGAAATATTTCATTCAAGAAACTCTGACCATATCCACAGGCTCTGACAACCAATTTTGATTGCTTGTCATCAGGGAGAAGGAAGACACAAATGTACCATATGAGCATATACGTAACAGATACCAAATAAAAAATGCCTACAGTGAATTTAATAATATTTCAAAAATTTAAATATTTGTTCAACAAGGGATGGTCCATTTTCATTTTGAATTTGAATACCAATACTTAGTTTAAATTTTGAAATATTTTGGCTAAGTGATGAGAATATCCCCAAAATACTGAAAAAATGAATAAGGGATCTCATTGGTATGCTCAAAGACCAATTTTGACATGTTGATTCAAAATAGTCATATAATGATGTTAAACTTAAACTTAATGAGTAAAGAAACTCAAAGAAAATCAAAAAATCAAAAAAGAAACAAATAAAAGTATTCTAATATTCATTTCAGTAATTTTGGTCTTTTTATGATGTTGGCAATATCAGTATGAATAGAGAGAGTTTGTACCAGTTCATATAGAAGTAATTTTAGATTATTATTATCCATGTTTTTTTCTTGAGCATTATTACATTTGACATCTTCTCTTTCAGGCATATTATTTCATCAGTTGAACTGGAGCAAAAATAACCAAAATAATCAGCAAAACAAAAACCAATTTCACAACAACCAAACACCAAACCAAGGAAATCCTAATAACACTGGATATCAGAATAATGGATCAGCAAGTAATTATGGTAATCAAAATGGTAGCTTAACAAATAATCAAAATGGAAATCAAGTTAGGGGTTCCAATTCCCACAATGGACATCCTTACAACTATCAAGGAAATCAAAGTAACCGAAATAGACAACAAAATAACCAAAATGCTTCACAAACACCAAATAATCAACAGTCAAACAGTCATCAAGGTAATTCAAATGGTGGACATCCTAACAACAGAAAAAATCAAAATGGTGGAAATATGAATAGTAATTCTAGAACTGGACAAGGTGATCAAGCCATGAATACTCCACAAACCCACAATGGAAATCCATGGCAAAGAAATATAAACAATAACCCCCAGACAACAAACAATAGAGGGTGGAACCAAAATGGTGGTCAATTCAATAGACATGGTCTGCATGATCCAACTAACCCATTTAGAAACTGGCACCAAAACAATGCGAATACCAATGCAGGTTCAACCAATCAACAGCCTCAAAATACTAACAATCCAAACTTAAATACTGGCTCATTTAATCAACAATGGGGACAAAAAGGTCCATTTAATCCAAGACAGCAAAGACGAGGGTATTTTGGTGGTGGACTATTCAGTTTTGAGCAGAATTCCATGGAGAGAACAATGAGTAGTATGCTTTTTAATAGACCTATGGGAGGTACAAGCAATGGGGCAGAATCCTTTGAAGACTTCGGAAACAGGAGAGGTATGGTGTTCCCAAATGGTAGTCAACATTTCTTTGGCAGTAACAGAGGACAAAGACATCCGCAATCAAATAATCATAATCATCAACATAATAATTCTCCATCCAATACAATGAACCCTGTAGGAAATCCTGGTCAGAACTCTGTTCCTAAACAATTAACCACCACACCATCTCCTAATAAAGGTCAAGGTCAAAACACTTCCACCAGTCTAACAACTCAGAGTACAAATCAATCTGGTCCACGTAATATCAATGGAAATACAGACAACATTGATAAGACTATGATCAACAATAGTAAGTCACCCAAGATGGAACGACCAATAACTGATGGCAATATACCCAACAATAGACCAATAGAATCTAGAAATAGAAACGAAGATTTCAACAACATTATAACAGATGATGGTTTTACAGGGAAGAATAAAGGAGGTAAACAGAAACCATTCTCACCAATATCAAATGTTCCGCAAACAGGTCAAATGCCTCTAAGGAATCAGAATACTCATAATGACAAAGCCGTCAATAAGGATCACAGACAACATGAAGGAGAACAAATCTGGAGTTCCAATGGACAAGTCAACACCAATCAAGAAAATGAAGAAGCCTTGGGTAAAGAACCAAGAGAAGAATTTGGTCAAGAAGAAGGTGAACCTGGCGAGGTTGGTGAAGGAGGAGAATTTGAAGGAGGTTCTGAGAGAGAAGGTAGTGAGGTAGAAACTCAACAAGCCATGATGCTTTCTAATCTTGGTGAATCACCCTATGAGCATCCTCCATTACTTCTTGTACCATCTCATGTTGATGAGGACAATGATTAAATAATGTCATGATATCAAATCATTCATCATTGTTTACTAATGTTTATTATAACATATACTTAACAAATACTTTTCTTAATAAACAGAATTATTTTAATCTTTTTTCAATAATTTTTAATTTTTAAATTCTTTTCTGGAATTCCAATCGAATGATTGATTGATCAATTCATAACATGTTATGAAGAGACAATTGAATCAGATAATCTATATAGTATAGGTCAACATAAAGAAATAACAGTGAAAATATTTTATTATTGTATGTATACATAAATATACATACTTTTGTCTAGGTTCATCTAATGTAAGATCTTCTAATTTAGGCAAATCTTCTTCAGAATTAAGATTGCTCTCATCAATATTACTATTTTCTAGTTCTTCTTCTTCTAATAACTGATCTCTTAATATAGCTACATTATCTTTATGTTTCTTTGATTTCTCATGATTCAACATTCTGGAACAAAAACATGGGATTTAAGTATATACAGACACCATATACTTGAAGGTCAGTTCAACAGAACAATGCTCTGTTAAAGACAACTATTTCCAAAATAAACTAGTATATGTATTATCACAGTATTAATTATTTCAAAACCACAAGTTACTTAGTCTATTAATATTTTATCAATTGTCATAAAGAACAATTCTACTTACGATTTTTCACTTTTAAAAGATTTATTACAAGCAAAACAATATAATTCATCCATTAACAGCTCTTCTTCTAATTCATCTAGAGGTATTTTACATAGTTAATTAACATAAATCTAGTTTTGTGTCATCATTATAATTCACAATTTATCCTTTTGTAAAAAGAAAACTAATGCACAGCATTGACCAAGGCAGACAAGCAAGGATAATATTCAGAAAATATATAACTTAAAATGTTAATATACACAATTTCTTCCATATAACTATTACAATATCCAATTAAAAAGGTACCTTTTAAATGCTTTTTAGTATGTTTTTCACAAGGTTGGCAAATTTGTCCTCAAAAGCATATTAATCAATTAATATTTATCCAAAATATATTTAAGGACATTGATTGTCAAATTTATATGTGTTGCCAAATTGCTGGTTATGAATTTACAGTCCCAAGAAATTCATGAAAATTAAGTCCCCAAAAGTGTAGATTATGATACAAAAATGTTGATGAATAAGTGAATTTCTACCTTCATCCTTTAGTTGTACATCAGAATCACTATCACTATCATCTCCATGTTGCTTAGCTAATGTTTTCTCTAATTGTAGAAAATCATTTTCTAGAGCAGATGTTGATGCCCAGCCCTCATCTTTATAATTCTCCATAGCTCTAAATTATCAATGTATATAACTACATAAGGGGGAATTTTTAGGGTTTTGCTCGTTGTAAATAATGCCTTTTCATAAAGATTTCCTTCTTAGTAAATCCAAATGTGTCACTGGATCTGCTCCTTAAAGATATATTAAGAGTTAAAGGGTAGGCTTACGCTGCTGAAAAAAATTCCCTCATTGCACACATCTACATGCCTAATTATGAACATATATGGATGTACATAATATTTTCATGTGCATAAATGGCGTGTCATAAATGCTTTTATTTTAAAAAATAAATCTTTAGGATATATTTGGATGCAATATACTACTTTCAATTGAACTTCTATAAATAGAAATGACACAACATACTGGAGTCTTTCTCTTTTTTGTTTCTCTCGATTTTCCTTCTGTTTACTTTGAGCCTCTTTAGCCCTCAATTCCATAAGTTCCTGAAATATTTGAGAAGAATATGAACTTCTTATTTTCAATTCCTGCAATTAATAACTAGTTTTACATTTACTTACTGACTATACTATAATATTCAGTAACTCTATGTAAGCACCTACCCTGTAAGCAATAACTCTTTTATCACGTTTCTTCACGAAGGCTACTAAATTCTGAAATGAAGAAAACATCTTGAAAATATAAATGACACAAATCAAGATACTAACCATGGACAAAGAGTCCAAAATTTAATGAAAATGAAATAAAATAAGTTTTACAGTCTATTTCATTTATCTTATTAGGATAATGAAAACTGACTATGCTATACTATGCAGTGTTCTATGAAGAAAAATTAGCAGAAAAGAATCATAAGCCTATTCTTTATCATTGATAATAGGTGTCTTTATCTTCATTTACAAATTGACTTGAGCTGATCTAATGCATCCCACATGTGTTATGGATAACAATCCTCATCAGGACAGATAGTTTTGGAAATGGGGGTAACCTTTGCCAAATCGGCAAACAAAGTAAATAAACTCATTGAACAGGAATAAAGACTGTCCTTACCCTTATTTCTTCATTTCTCTCCTTTTTAGCAGCGTCTCTACATTTTTTATTTTCTGCCTCTGCTTTCCGTCTAGAGTATCTATCAGGAGCATCTCTTGTATTATATTTCTCAACCCAAACATAGGATTTCAATGTAAAATAACTACTCCAAAAATCATAGAAAGCTTTCACCACCTGTTTAAAAGATAAAATAATTAATTTACCGATTGTTGGTCAAAACTGAATCAAAACCTGGAATCTATGATGTACACAAAAACAAATTTCTTGCAATTCTTGTGTTCTGACATTAAGAATTGTACATTGTACAGTGCTTTACAGTGAAATTTGGGAACAGACCAACATACCAACAGACATGTGCGACGACAACCTTCGCTCTTTCTTTCAAGTAGGTGCATATGAATTACAAAATGAAGCAAATACTTACCTCTTCATAAGAACTCTGAGAATTACCGAAATCTGGATATTCATAATCACTATCTTTATCTTCCATAAACGGTACATCTTGTTCAAATATAGTATGAAACACTTTTCTATAGACACTATAAAAACCCTGCATAGAACAAAGATAAGTTAATATTCTGGCACACAGATTTTTAAATGAAATCAAAGGAAATGAATTGAGTTTTACGTACTACTTTTCTGCACCATTTGGGCTGATGAAAACGGGCAAGTGTGTGCAGTGTGCAATTAGGGAAATTTTGCCAGGACAGTGGCATTAGCCTGAACTTTTTCGATCTTTAATGGGCAGAGCCTGTAGCACACAGGGCTTCGGTTTATTGTCCAAAACCGAACAACTAGACACTTTTTCCATGTCAGCCCCTTTTACCTGCATCACTGACAGGGGGAAACCGGGTTGACAAATCTGAAGTTATTATCTCGACCTATGCCGGGATTGAACCCTGAACCTTCAGTTTAGTGAGCAAGCGTCTAATTCATTGAGCCACTGCAGCTCCACAGATTTTAAAAGACAGACATATGGACATGTGATAGGACATTTTTGTGATGAAGTATATATAAATATATCTCATGTATCTAATTCAGACAAAAACAAAAAAGACAAATTGAATCAGAAACCAAATAGTTCTTGTTATTAATAAAAGGAACTAATATTCAAATAATATACCTTAGGATCATCACCAAAACCTGAATAGCAGGATGATGTAAAATATTGGAAAACATCTATACTATCATCTGTGTATTTATCACCCCGACCTAATCCTGCAATCAAAATTCAAACACTTGACTAGTACATGTCATTTTCAGGACTATTGGGCATCTCTTACAACTATGCCATACTAATTTTTGATACCCTGGATCCACCAATAAAGGTTTGAGTGACTAACTTGACGAAAAATGCATTGGGTCATATGATTGCAGAAAGTTTCCATTTAATTAACTGGTCAAAAAAGATTTTATAAGTTCTGTGGAAAGACAGAAAATACCTTCCACTGAGAAATAAGGAGAGATTTCAATATGATTTTACCTCCTCTTAATATAGCTTCTCTATGATTATCATACCAAGCACGTTCTTGAGGGTCACTCAATACTTCATAAGCTTGTTGAACCAAACGAAATTGTTCAGTTGCTTCTTCTAAACAATCAGGATTCTTGTCTATACACCAGCGAAAGAAATTATAAAGTTAAAACAGAATTCTAGTAGCCAGTTTTTAATCCAGTAAATGTCATAGTCCAGCCATAGATCGTGAGTTTTACTATGTATTCACAATCCAGCATTAGTTTTATTGGAAGCCTATCGGTGACAGTTCGTAACAGCCAATCAAAGCGTTGATGGCCTGAGGCAATCAATCAAATCACTGATGAACTTTAGGCATATGGCAGAGGAAATTTCATAATTTTCACTTCTCTCCGATCTGACATTGAAGGACTTGAGTGTAGATATGTTGTTCTATATTTGATATAGATAATTATGTTAGATATGTTAATTTGACCAATCTTGTCTACTACCATCTACGTCTACATCTACGTGACTACCTACTACTAGTAAACTTATGATTTACATGTATAAAAATTGACTCCACTGTAAGACTTTAACATGGGATTTCCATTTTCTAGATCATATTTTTCCCATTCTCAATTTCTTTTTTGAATGAAAAGTAACCTTTGTTAAAAATTTAATGAATATGAAAAAAAATCTACCTGGATGCCATTTCAATGCCAGTTTTCTGTATGATTTTTTTAGATCTTCTGCATTAGCGTCTCTAGCTACACCCAACAGTTCGTAATAACATTTAATTTTACTAGTCATAATGTAAATTTCAATCAGTTTGTGGTATAGACCAAAGTGTTTCTTCACAAAATATTGCACCACTCTACTTTTATTTTTTTGTAAGTTAATGGTCAATGGGAGACAACTCTAAATAATAACACTTTATCCAAGGGAATTAATTATATAAAGCGTCAGACTACAACCAACTTATTTCAACATTTTCTAGCCTAATACGAATCTTTTATTTCTGTTTTGTGGTGCGGATTTAACTTAATAGGTCAGCTCAGAATATCAAGATACGAAATTTTTTGCTACTTGCCAAGCAACCGATTCAAAAGGCATTATTTTAATCAATGTCTGGTGCAATCTCAGAATGCTGAAAGCTTTAAGCCTGACCCAATCTTCTGCCTTCAAGAGTAGGATTTTCACACTTGTCCTATATGTGCATTATATAGATCTGATATTCTGCCGACAGGATAAATACTTTCTTCCCATTGTGTGTTATATAGAAGTTACAACATATCGGTCATGAGGAACCCAATGTGCTACCATTACTCAGAATTCATCACACGCTTTTAAGAAGCCTATCTTTCAGACAGCTGAAGTGTTTCGTTAAAAGCATAGAAATTATTTATTTGGATTTTGTTGGTTCGAAGATATAAAAAGATTTTAATCAAGATGAATTTAGAGCATTTAGAGAGCCAATTCCCTCAGGCCTGGCCCAAAAAATACATGTCCAAAAATGTTGCATAATTCTACTAGATTTTACTACATCAGACAATGTTTATGACGAAAATTTTTATCCATCATTTTGTAAGTATGGTATGTATAATGGCTTAACAGCAATGATGAGAAACGGCAGACTTCATGAAAGCTCATGAAATGACTACCAGAAGCATTTTCACTTGAATCTAGTCAAACATCTTTGGAACTTAAGAATTACAGAATTCAAACAGCTATCATTTTCTGAGTTACATTAGAAGACAACATAGAATCAAATGCTATATGTATAGACAGACAAATGCCCATATTTGAGCTGTTAGGTCATGGATTAATGGCAGGTGTAAGAAAATAAGACATTCACTAGCAAGATATTTATTGAATTAAATCATGATCTTCAATGTCTGCCTTGAGGTTTTTCTGAAATTATAGAACAAGACAAACTTAAATAATAAAACATCTTCTCAAAGTTTAGAATTTTTTGTTTCCTTTTTGACAATATAATTGACTTTATCTTAAATTTTTTCAGTTGAAGTAATATAAGCAATTCAAAATCAATGATTTACTTCAACTACTGCCATAAGGACTAAAATTGAACATGTGAATCTGTCCCAATCATGCTGGTAACTAGCAGAGAGCTAAGATTTGTAATATTGAATTGAGTAACAATTAATCTGAGAATGGTTACAGCCTTCCTCCATACCCTTTGTCATTCATTTGACCAATCGAATCCTTTAGCTAAGCTTAACAATCAGTGTACACAGCTCACTGTCAAAATTTGAGCCTTCAAATCCATGTACATTCAGATAAAGAGATTTCATTTTTGTGTAGTTCTAACACTTTAAGCAAAAACAACCTCTCAAAAATGGCAAACAATAACCTTTAAGAGGAAGATATTTTTCTCACTTTTTTTAAGGTACTAATAGAAGCCTTATCTTAATCTCCTAGCTTCTCTTTCTGATTCTAATAATGTCAAAATATCTCCTTCTCTTACTGGACCTTTCACGTTTCTAATGATAGATCTGTTACTTTCATCTAAAAACTCCACTCGAACCTGAAAAAAATAAAACTGTCTGTATTCGGTGGTCACATAACATTCTAAAGCAGATCAAGAGAACTAAATGGCTTTAATAGTGTTCAAAGTACAAAATATCTAGCTAATTGGACATTGACTCATCAGCAGTTAAAAAAGTTGCCGATTTAAGAACAAAAGATTGAAAAAAAAATACTGTCCACTATTCAATACTGTGGCCATTTGCCGTGATTTGCAGATAAACTGTATTTTGATTGCATTGACATAATATGTCAAATATAATTTGGTAATTTAAAAAATTTAAGATGGAATCATCTGAATTGTGTAGGGAATGTATTTCATAATAATAGCCTCTCCCGAGGTTTTAAATTAATTCACTGATCCAATGATTAATGCATACGGGATATTAGAAGAAAATTTATTCCTGCAAAGAAGCTTATTAAAGCTTAAGGAGACACCTCAAGACAGAAATAACAACTTCAGATGACTCACTTGTGTACACTGACCCTGTGAACCAGTTCTTCCCATAACTTTTAAGACCTAAAAAATTAAATGAAATAGTTCACTTGTAAAACTTATCATTAAAATTTCAAAGAATCTGAATTTGATAATTCAATTTACCATACCTTTGATAATAAATTTTGTTCATTGTATTTTAAGTATTTGGGTTAGGCCTATTTGCGAAATGCGATTTCGTAAATATTGTGGGAAACGAGAGGTAAAGTAAAAGGCCTATTGCTCTAAAATATTGCTATGTAGCTCTTTACCGAGGGAAGAAAAAAACGTTAAAGAGATTGTTTCTAGAAACGAAATTTACTTTAGCCAACTTTATTGGAGCGATCTTGTCCATTTTGGATATTTCGTGAAAAAGGAACCGGAAGAGGCTACCGCGTGTTGAGTAATCTCGCAGACAACAATTTGGAAAAAATTAAATGACTTGACAGATAATGTTATATAAATAACACAAATCTACTAGGTATGTGGTTGTACTTCATTTAATTTCAATTTAGTATTTGCGTTTTAGTCTTGATTTTTAAATGTCAAGGACTTGATTCAGTGCGGGATGTAAAGATGGCGGCTCCCAGGAGAGAAGCAACAAAGATAATTCAGTTGATTAGAAAAGTGTTACAACCTCATGTAAGACAAAACTATAGCTTAGTAACGTTGATCGAACTTTAAACAACCCGTTAGTGAGTGTACTACATACACTCATGCGGAAAATATTGTGTATTTTTACCTTCTTTTGAGTATTTGACCTTGGCCCACCATCATTGACATTGTTGTCAATCTCTTTTTTATAAACTTTCAAGTTTCATGTCAATTAAATATTTTGATCACAATGATAATGGATATATTCATACATATTGTCTTCGATGGTTGTTGGATTAGAATAAAGAGAACAGTTTCCTATTGCCATACACCGTAGTTGGCAATTGAATTCCTTCACCATTTGAATATCGTGGGTGACCGCTTGAAACCTCGTATAACGATATCTGACGCGGAATTACTTTTCGAGAAAACCGCAAAAAACTATTTTTACGCGTATTTTGTTAAAATCTTTTTGATTATTTTATACGTGGTTTTCATTCTTGGAAAATATATACCTCGTTTAACAATTCGAGATCACTGACCTATTGAACCAAAAACTCGTATCATAATATAGTATACGAGGTTTTTCATCTTCATACTCAGAAAAGGAACATTCAATCTCATATAATGATATATTTTACGAGGTTTTGAATCTGACTGGTTATATACGTGTTATTTAATTAGCGCTTTTTGAGATATTTGGAATACGCAGATTTGTTCACAAGATCCACACTTTTACGACCTTTCGAACGGTACCTAAAAGTCAAAATGACCAAATATGACATATACGAGGATTCAAGCGGTCACCCACATTATATTGCCACACTTTCCCTTCAAAGAAATTTTGACTGAAATAACTCAAATTTTAATTGACATTAAATTTCTCAGTAGTATAGATCTATTATGTGTAATAGGGAATATTGTGCCTGGAATTCCAATTGAAACATGACTATGCAATTAAATAAGCATATCATGGCATGTTGTGTCATGTAAGTGTCGATTTACCGGGTACATCATGCCAGCAATTATGAGAATTGTTCCTTACAGATTAAAATAATTAAATTGTTGCTTTGTAAGGCACCACAAATTTTCAGGCTGTCCTCTAGTTTAAGGGCAGTAACTTCAATTGAATCTTAGATGTGGATAAACTGTGTTTCCAAAGCCTGAAAATTGCTTTCTTTTGGTTATTTAGAAAGCAACCTTTAAGAAGAAGTAATAAGACAATTTGGGTGTTATTCCATGCCACGTTTCAATATCTTTTAGACTTATTTGAAATTAGTCACTTTCTTGTAATTATGTTTGAATTATATAAGCTTATTGGCTTTATTTTCAGAAAGAACCTAATAATCCTTTAAGATTTGCTGATTATGGAATAGCAGAAAGGTATTTTTATTTCAAACTTAACATTTATTTTTCTAAATAAGTGACCAAAATATGCAATTTTATGTCAAAGTGGAATTCCGTCTTCATTAGCCCACAAGGTGCAGAAGAGTAGGACGTAAAACTCCATTCATTTCATTTCATTTCAAAGTAGAATTATTAGAAAATTGATATGTAACTGTACTTCATGCGATATACATGTAGTTAAAAATCTTGCTAATAAAGAAAAAAAACCTAACTGTGGAATTTAGTAGCTTTGAATAAGGATTTTTTCTCTGTATCTAAAATTGGAATCAAGGAATTTAGTTTTGGATTTATAACTTTGTCCTGTTTTAGAACTCAGCCCCCACCTGACCTACCTGATGGTCCAGCACATAAATTGTCTGATAATTATTATTTTACGAGAGATGCCAGACGTGATGTTTTACCACCAACAGAAATATTCAATGGAGCTCAACGTCGTTTGACTTCTGGGTAAGAAGTAGTTGATAAATTTTGATATCTTAATTTGCTTTGACAAGACATTTGAATATAATTTGCTTTGACAAAACATTTTAAATTTGCTTTGACAGGACATTATTAAATATTATACTTTGACAAGATATTTTATTATAATTTGCTTTAACAAAAGATATTTATATAATTTGTTTGACAAGACAGTTTTATATAATTTGCTTTGACAATACATTTTTATATAGTTTGCTTCGACAAGACATTTTTATACGCCCACATGAATATGTGGTCGTATATTGTTGTTGCCCCTGTCCGTCGGTCCATCCGTCAACATTTCTTGTGAGCACTATAGAGACTACAGTTTTTATCTGATTTTGATAAAACTTGGTGTGATACTTCAGATTGATAAGATCTCGGTCAAGTTCGAATTTGACATATTTTCAATGAACGGTTTTTGAGTTATTGCCCTTGACTTTGTTAAAACGCGTCGAAATTTGTTAAAAATAGTTCGTGAGCAGGATTGAAGCTACAGTTTTCAACCGATTCTGATGAAACTTGGTGTGATCATTGGAATTGATAAGATCCCGGACAAGTTCTAACTTGACACATTTTCGATGAACGGTTTTTGAGTTATTGCCCTTGACTTTGTTAAAACGCGTCGAAATTTGTTAAAAATAGTTCGTGAGCAGGATTGAAGCTACAGTTTTCATCCGATTCTGATGAAACTTGGCATAATCATTGGAATTGATAAGATATCAGACAAGTTCTAACTTGACGCATTTGCGATGAATGGTTGTTGAGTTATTGCCCTTGACTTTATTAAGATAGCTTGCGAGGCAAGGTAACATACGCCCACTGGCAGCTGTCAGAAATGATAAAACAGTCTTTAATGACTAATGTGCGAATTTTCTCATATTGAAGAAATTTTATTACTTTGAATTCCATTACATATATATGCCATTTATTTATGCTGAGTAATTCCACAAAATTTTTTAAAATCAATATCAATAACCCAAATACAACAAACAATTAAATCACACAGCTCTAATCAAGGGCAAAAAACAACTTTTGACGCATGTTTACAAAGTCAAGGGCAATAACTCAAAAAAAGTTCATCGAAAATTTGCTTTGACAAGACATTTTTATATAATTTGCTTAGACAGGACATTTTTATATAATTTGCTTTGACAGGACATTTTTATATAATTTGCTTTGACAGGACATTTTAATATATTATACTTTGACAAGACATATTTATATAATTTGCTTTGACAGGACATTTAATTGACATAAGAGATGATTGAGATAGATTGAAATTGTGCTTCTCAATTGATAAAAAAGATAGTCTTGATTTACATTCACTAACAATTTAATTTTTTCAGGGAGTCTGCACTAGAAAGTGGAAATGTGAAAACTGTCAGGCCAGGACATACTTTTAATTGGGAGACTGGAAAAAGTGATATGCTGTAGACATTATTTTCTATATATTTATTATGAATGTTTGTTTAAATAAATTTGTCTTGAGAGTGTGGTGAACATTTAAGTCTTTTACAAGTAGTTAAAAATCATAAAGGATCATAATTATTTTTAAAAGGAACAACTATTTTTTCTACTAAAGTAATTGTCCACTTAGTGATCACAGGTGAATGATGCCAATTCTAGATTTATTACAAATTATCATTTCAATGTAGTTATCCAGACAAAGTTATGAAATGGCTCAGAATTGTTCTTGTTGGTATAGGTTCAAAAAGGTGAAAATAGAAACTGACAAACCATGATAGTTATTTTATATATATTCACAGCGATGAGACAAGATGTGTTTAAGGTATCCCTGTCTTCTGTCCTTTGACATCTGTTTAGAGAAAATGGTGTTCATGGTCAAGCCATGAGGTGATAATGGTAATTATAAACTATAGTACATAGTACAGTTACTAATACAGTCCAATGTTCAGCCTTTGAATTGCTAAGCTAAAGCTATTAAAGCTATTATCGAAATTTGACATACAGGAATTTATTTTCCAAAGTTACAATTCAAAGCCAAACATTACAGGGCCATGACCAGGAATTTTGAGAGGGAATACATCAAGATTGAAAATAATCTTAAATAGAATGAAGGATGAGCACATGGGAAAGTGGGAGTCAATTTCAGATCTTGGTCCATGCGCAGTAAGAAAAATCTTCCGTACACTCATATACCAAAAATGAAAAGAAGCCGCCAGTGAGTGCTATATAAATGTAAATGGACGAACGAAATTACACGCATAAAACACCACATCTCTCCCATATTATGTTAAATATTGCGTTAAATCTTTGGCTTTTATACGCCCACGTGGAAATGTGGACGTATATTGCCGTCGGTCGGTCCGTCCGTCCGTTCACATTTCTTGTTGGCGCAATAGAGTCTACAGTTTCTATACGAACTTGATGAAACTTGGTATGCATGTATATATTGAGATCTCAGTGAAGTTTGAAATTGGTAAAGATTGAATGAACGGTTTTAGGGTTATTGATGAAACTAGATATGCATATATTTATGACATCTCGGTCAAGTTAGAAATTGGTAATATACGGATAATGAACAGTTTCAGAGTTATTGCCCTGTGTGTACAGCGATGAGACATTGTTTATGTCTGAATTTGATGGAATTGTTTCTGTTTTTTTCTTTCTGATTTTATGATTATTTGAAAATTCATTATTCAGCCACAAAATTTTTGTTATCTCTGACAGCTGGTAGTGAGCGTTTGTTAATTTGCCTGGCAAGCTATCTTTAATAATATGGTTATCTCCCTTATACTATAGAATTTTTTATAGCCATCCACCCTATCCGTTCACCAACAATTCGCTTGTGAACACAATACAGACTAACAGTTTTTATCTGATTTTAATGATATTTGGCTTGATCCTTTATATTGATGAGATTTTGGTCAAGTTCCAATTTGACGACATTTCGATGAACGGTTTTTGAGTTATTACCCTTGACTTGAAACGCGTTAAAATTTGTTTGTGACTACAGTTTTCATTTGATTTTTATGAAATTTGGCGTTATCGTTTATATTTATGAGATCTTGGTCAAGTTAGAATTTGACGAGTTATTGCCCTTGGCTTAGTAAAAATGCGTCGGAATTTGTGCTTGAACAAATATGATTTTACTGATACACTTACACATAAAACTGTCATTATTAACTTTATGTGACTTGTGAACAGTTTATGTGAGAATTTTATTAAATTTTATGTGTTGTTTTAAATCAACAACATCTTGGACAAGTTATATTTTTTGGTACGAGTTGGCACAGATTGACGACTATAAAAAAACTCGCTGTGACTCCAATTTGATTACAAGATATTAAACTAAAACATTTTTGTCGTTTTGGAAGACTGAAATAAGCTTAAGGGGCTTAACATCACACCCTAATACTCGCTCGAGGAGCATCGGTTTCTCGTCTGTAAAAAAAATAACTTTGCCCTTCCAAATATTTTGCTAGATAGAGATAACAACCATGTGCCAGAACATAGATACCGGAATTAAATTCAGTCTTGATAGTTTCGCCCCTCGTCCTCTATTTGTACCCCCAGTATCGAGAGGCTGGTGTGAAGCCGCTACTGAGCCTACTTAAACTGGCCCATATCTTGTGTTGTTCGAAAGCAACGATAACCAGAATATACAATACAAAAGGACTTTATTAAACACTTATATTCTTTGGTGTCACATAAATACATTATTTAAATAAACCTTCCCTTTGAGAGGCACCATTCACCCACATATCTATATATCTATCAATATACATTCTGTTCAGATTGGTGCTGATTGATGCTGATGACAAAACGGCAATTTCGTGTTGATCTTATATTGTGCACTGTGCACCAATCTGATTCCTATAGTTTCAGACGAAATTTCATAACAATGTAGAAGTAAAAAAAGACATAGATATCTTATATCGAATAAATGCCTAAACCCATTTCAGCATATTAAACAGCGTAAAGCGCGGCGGCAGAGATGCAGTGCTGCGCTGACTGGATTCCATATGAGCTTCAGGCGATACTGCCCTCAGTATGATAGTAAATTTTCTAAATACTGATGGGAAATGACACGGATAAAGCAAATCGCAAAACGCACAGAAAATCTCCTCTGATGGGGTTGTGGGCGTAGTGGAACCAAGGAAATGAAATGGAGTTTTACGTCCTACTTTTCTGCACAATGTGGGCTAATGCAGACGGGCAACGCCATGCACGGTGCAATGAGATATTCAGGACAGTGACATCAACCTGCTCTTTTTCAATTTCCATCTGTTGAGGGGTCTTTAGCGTGCACAGCCTGTAGCACACGGGGCCTCGGTTTATTGTCCCACCCGAACGAAAGCCTCTTTTCTATGTTAGCCCCTCTTACCTATATCACTAGCAGGTAGAACAATACCTACACACACAAGATACCCACCCAATGTCACTTCCAGACTAATTTCTCTTTGAAATTTCAATCGAAGAATACACCTTTAGTGTAGAAAGTTTCCATGATATACGAACCAATCGAACCACATTTAAAACATTAAACACGCGTATGCACATTTATTATTACAAAAGCAAATTGTTTTTGCTATGAATTTAATCATACGATTATTTAATCATACGAAATATCGAGTCCAACTATCAAGCTGAGCCACATCTTGATCTCAAATTTAGTAATAAGCCAAAAAATGCTTCTCCCGATTTTCTGCTGTATCCCACTCAACAGAGTATAGCTTATATAAAGCTGCACAGTACCGTGGCACGATGGCGGGTTTTGCTGATAATTAATCACCAGTATCATAATCCTCATTCTAGATTACAGAGTAAAGCTGGCTTAGGTTTTTCTCCGAGGGGGGTGAAATATCTGAGACTGCCCCTCTACTCCCCTTGGCTCCGCTACTGCAGATATCATATCAAGCTAGGCTCCTGACCTAGTTACTAAAATCAGATCAATAACTTGGTTGACCGCGTTGCTAAACCGAACTACAGTTCTCAAACGGAAACATGTGACGTTCAGACATTATTAAAGGAGCATTTCAACTTTCTTTCAACAGTTTGCATGAACAATGTTTTATCAATTGTAAGATGAGTTCAGCTTACAAATGTGGAAAATCGATTGTTCCTCTAACTACCTTTCGTCGCCACAATGAATAAATTATGCAAAATTTATTTATCATGGTTTTTCTAGAACTTATAGTGATACACTTATAAGTATACACAAAACCAATAGAAAATACATGTACATGTGATTTGAAGGCTTTTTTGAAATATACATGTATATGACATTTCTAAAAATTCTACTAATTTTGTCTGGCGTAATAATTCAAATGTCAGTCAACCAAGTTCGTGTTCGTGATAATTTTGTTGTGATATAGATAATCACAAATTTACGATTTTGAAAATAAAGACTTATAGATAAATTGACAGAAACAGAAACACGTCCTACGTTCGTCTGAAATTGTCACAAACATCGTAGCATTATCAATGATAAAAGTAAAAATATATATTATGTATTATTATAAGCTATGACTTCATTTAAAAATAGTTATTTTAGCTTGACATAAAAAATACTACTTTTAAGTTCTCTTCTGTTTTTCAGAATATATACATTGATCGTAGTATTTAATAATAAAATTCTACTTCAAATTACACTTGAAGCAACACAATCACATTACTCTGTAGTTTATTTTCTCACCGAGCTGTCACACATAATTCTAGAAAGAAAATTTTATGTCTCCACACACAAACAACCGGAATAAAATATATAACGACAATCCATGTTATAAGTTTTTACAACAGTACCATTTCTTTATTCTTTTCCTGAGAATCTCTAGTCAATCTTCTGAGGAACTGCTTTTAGTTCTGAGAGATATTTTTGTCTGAATTGTTCCATTCACAGTTCTTGATTCTAGTTCATAGTCCGAACCTCCGATAAGTTTTCTACCCAAACACGGATTTTGAGGATGTCGACGACAGATATACGTTCTACAGGCTGCCTGCATACTTTTTCTAAAGTTTCTTGACATGAAACCATAAATAATAGGATTGAGGCACGATTGAATATATGGTAAACATTCTAAAACAATCTGAAAAGAAATAAGCAGAGCGATTATAACATAGCCATGGATTATAACATTGCATTAATTAGGTTTCTCGAGCAAAGGTCGACAAATCAAACAAGCGGGGCACGTTGATGGTTGGAACGGAACGTATTTTCATTAGTATAATACGTCACAAGTCAGATATCAAATCAATGATAAGAAAAAACCTCATTTATATAGCAGTATATTATATTTATTAAGGACCAATCTAAGCTTATTCGAGTTTTTTTTTCGGTACCCTTACCATATTTCTGTAAACAGCTCAAATATGATTCGTTGCGTCTCATCTGACAATTTCTAGAAGAAACTTGGTAACCTTTCTAAAGAACTTCTTGTTGAGTTTTTGGAATCAACTGAAGGTAACTGACATTTGAGTGTTATGTAAAAGAGATGGAAATCATTAAGTACAATATGTAGGTATGGTATTGTAAGCAGGTGATGATAAAGGTAACATTGGTAGACCGATCTGACCTTTAAATTTCTACTTAAATCATTATCTTACAGAATATTATACTTATCAGAATTAGCAATATATGTACTTTGAGTAAGTAAAAATAATGTTTAATTTGATCAGTGTAATTTTCATACATGACCATAGAGATCGAAATTTCTGTTTCTATACAAGTCCATATTCCTCAAAGATTTGTTCACAGTTCCTCCCAATTCTGATATTATGTTCTTAAGTTGGACAGTAATTTAAACTCAATGTTATATGACGCCTTTACTTTCACCGTTTCTTTATCATAACCTATATTCCAGCCTCTGTTGGATATTTTGACAGTTGCCAGCTGGAGTAGTCAGAAAAAGACCCTGTTAAATGATAATTATGAGCAGTTCTAAGGGACAATTCTAACTTCTTTAATGTTAGGACAAGAAATTTCATTGGAACCAAACCTTAGAAATAAATGGTATTACTTTAGAAACATAATATGAAACGCACTGGAAAAATTACAAGGGCAAAACATTGTGCAGTGAAATTTTTCTAAACCAGTATAAAAGGAAAACAACCAAATTTACATGTGGCTTCTGCAATTTACAGTGTTCCGAAGATTTTTCAACTTTAACAGATGGAAATAATAATTGTCAACAGTTTGCTGCATTATGACCAAATGCATAAATAATATTGATTAAAGTTACATAATCGTGCGATTTGATAACTCTCTTTTACCATAATTCGAACAGTAATGGTACCAATGATGCCCAACTTGTTTGTTGATCCATATTGACAATTTCAAGTCAATATGTTAACCCGCTTAATCAGGAATAGCGAAAAATGCTAAACGTCGTTTAGCTTTCAATTTATAAGAATTCAGTGAAAGTTTAACCAACCGCATGCTAGTGACAATCAAAACCTTGGTTGGCCGACTTAACAGTAAGAATCCACAGAGTTTTACACTACTTTTCAACCCTACCCGTTTTCTTCCTCTTGGATATTGCCGAGGGCCAATGTAAATCCATACCAGATTGCTGAAACTGACATTTCAATTATGAACTTATGTCTGTCTATTGTTTATTTATGAATCATTTTTAATGAAAAAATATTTTTTGAAAAAAAACTTTGCCAACGTTATACAATTAAGTTAAATGTTAATGAAAGGTGTTATAATAAGTAATGATAATATACTCTAAAAATGTCACCAGAGATAGTTATAAACGACATTTGTTAAATTCAGTAAAATGGCACATCACGACGTGCAACAAAAACTTAACCTAAAGGGATTGTCATTAGATTTTCAATTGTTTCTTATTCACTAACATAAATGAAGAAAACACACCATTTATCATTTTCATAAAACAAACTTAGCAAAGATTAACAAAGGTTCATAATAGGAGAAGCCTCAGAAGAGATTGAAAGTAGGAAGATTGTTTTGTTTGTACACAGTTTGATTTTCAAGATATGTAAAAATAGATAAAAAGTTCTGATAATAGTTTGCGTCTGAAAGATTTTGGGGTTCTATAATTACAGTCAAAACAACCGAATAACTGTCAAGTACCAAAACCGAAGACTGAATAGATAGATTTATATATTAGACAGAAATTATTGAGATTGATGGAATATGATGCTCGACGTCAATGATGATAAATAAGGCAGAAAACTTTTATGTTTCGATATGTATTGAAAACCCACATATTCTATAATATAGATATCGTAACGATTAGTTCTATAAATTCAATCATTTTGATACACTGCATTAAAATCTTTGATTATCCATACTTATCCAAATAAAGATATATTTACTTCCGGTTTATAGTCAGGTAGGTTGATGTCGTTGTATCGTGACCTATTATTTTAGAACGAGTTAATTACTAGAGTTCATGCTTTATTTTCGCTATTGATACAAGATTGATAGAGTTATGCCAATTTATATATCGTTTCAAAAACCGTTCTCTTTTGAAATAAAACAACTGATGGCACTTTTCGACTGGGCTTGTGAACTCTGCATTCCTCTCACAGAGTCCACATAGTTGATATTGTTTATACTGGTTTTAAAACTTTACTGACTGCGAAAAAAGTATTTAGCTACAATGTGAAAATGTTTTGAAACCTGATGAATAGTAATGGTATGCCAGTGGAACCTCTTGACACTGTTCTACAAACAAGGTATATATACAGTTTCAAAACAATCTGCTGGAATTATTTATCATTATCTATATTCCATGGACATACAAACTTGGTCTTTTTAAAAGTACTATGCCTATTTTTGTCTTGTCTTACAGCCCACAATTATATTAGTACCTTATTTTAGAATTCGGAAAAGGTACAATATTAGTCTACTAGAAAATGTATGGAAAACACGTAGTTTTTCAGTGGGTTTCATCTTCGAAAAATCGAAAAAAAGATAGTAGGCCCTATTTTAGGAATACATGTATTTATGTATGCATTTAATTAGATTTATTTTCTTTTATCTTAATCTGATTTTTGTTTTCCTACACATGTCAATATTTATTTTCAACATCCCTATATATGGTACATGTATATATAGTATGTTATTATACTTTCTCCTTATTCCAGATTATCTCCAACCCACTTATTAGATAGATTATACTTTAATGCATTTTATAGGCTTAAAAGAACAGAGCGTCGGATTTTCACTATAAAAATTAATATTTGCGACGAGGTCAAATTAAACTCTTTTAATCGGATTTTATACATTCTATTTAAAAGAGCATCAATATGTCGAGTATGTAAAGGATTTCTTCTACACAGTTTTTGTCATGTATGAGTAAATACTTTAACTTATTTTTCTATATTTTTCCACACTCTCACATGGACAGTCAACGTTTACCAGACCGTGGACAAATCATTTAAATTAACGTTTAGACATGATCATTGGTGATGTTGATAGAAGAGAGAGTTCACAGATTCTGTTAACAATATAGGTGTATCTATCTTTTTCAACTACGCTAAATTTTCGACCGATTAGAGGAAGAGAAACAGAAAGACAAGGTTTCTGGATCTGATAATGTAGATAGATAGCCTGCCAGGCAAGTTAATATACGCCCACTGGCAGCTTTGATTTTGAATAAAAATATTTAGCAGTTCAGTAACAATCACCTGTATGAAATAGTCAACCAAATTCAGTCATACACTTCTTTTGAACTCTTTAGAGCAATACTGAATAATATCGAGTATGAGTATTACCCTTGTTCTTAAAAACGTGTTCAATTTTTAGCTCGTGAAAACTCTAGAAGGCAAATATTCCATCTTCAGCGCGGGACTGAATAATAAAACCAACTTCTATCAAAATCCAGCAAGAATCATGCCTTTTGGTGTTTAAGAGCTAAATTTCAAAGCGTTTTCAAGGGCAATAACTCATACTAATCATTTTTCGATTTTCTGATTTTCAATAGGCTTTATCCTTGGGTGATAACAAATACCCATGCCAAGTTTCGTCAAAATCCGTCAAGAATTGTCCCTTCTGGGGTGTTTACAAGCTAAAAATGGAACACGTTTTCAAGAACAAGGGCAATAACTCATACTAAATATTTTTCTGATTTTCAATAGGGTTTATCCTTGGTTGATAACAAACACTCATGTCAAGTTTCGTCAAAATCCAACAAGAATTGTGCTTTCTAGAGTGCTTACAAGCTAAAAATTGAACGCGTTTTCAAGAACAAGGGCAATAGCTCATACTAAATGTTTTTAGATTCTTCTGATTTTCAATAGGGTTCATCCTTGGGTGATTACGAACACTCATGCCAAGTTTCGTTAAAATCCATCAAGAATTGTCCCTTCTAGAGTGTTTACGAGCTAAAAATTGAACGCGTTTTCAAGAACAAGGGCAATAATTTATACTAAATATTTTTCGATTCTTCTGATTTTCAATAGGGTTCTTGTAGAGTGTTTACGAGCAATTGTGGACGGACCGACGGACATTGGTGACGGCAATATAAGCCCCCCATTTCATGTGGGCGTATAAAAATCACCCGAAAAGTCCATAGTTTCTTTCTAATCTATTTATTTAGTTAGTTGGGGAAATTATGTTAGACGGATACTCATGCAGTGCAATAAGATTACTAGGCCAGGATGGCATCAATGATCTAATGTCTTTTGCATTCAACTGACAATAGTTCTTCAGTCTGTCGACTTGGTTTGTCGCCATATCCGAACGACAGGATGGAAAACACGAATTCAGTCTATCTTTCCAAAAATAATATAATTAATTATTGAAAATGTAACGCTCTACTTCAAACTAACCTTACTTTTTATATCTAACGTTAATCAAAAGAAAAATGAACCCGAATATTGTTATATCAGATGATAAGAAACGAAGATCTATTGCATCTGATAACTTACACAGGTGAAATGAACACCTAAATCCGGGCATCGGTGTAAGTTTCAATGAAACATGTTTATTGCCAACCTGGCTAATTTCTATTTTCAAGATTTTAATAAGAAGAAATTACATGTAGGGTGGTCTGTTAGAAAGTTAACTAAAATAAATATCATTATAATATATAGCAAGGTGAGAATGAGAATGGTATGAAATTGGCACAATTTAATAGTAATGATATGAGTAAATAATGGCTAGTAAATGTCAGAATAAGAAGCCATGTGGTAGAACTTATCAACTGTAAGAATTACCAACGTAAATTACCAGGTGAATAAAAGTAGGCCAGTTATACTAACATACAGATCAAAGGATTTCACTTGTATTATATTTTTCGAATAGGCAAATTTTGTTTTTTGTAATTTTATTCTATTACACGTTCTCTTTCCACGGTTCACTTCCTCTTTCTTCATAATCTCTATCAGCTGCAAATCAGTGGTGTGAACCCAAGCAGTACTTGAAACAATATCTATATGTTGTCATCGCTTCCGCTGTTTTTATACTTCGATTGTCCTATACAGTTGAAGTGTGGTTAAGTTATAGGGGCATTTATCCCCCCTCTCCCTGACAAGAAACGCCGGAATGTCTGGCTCGAAAATATCTCCATTATCTTGTGAAATGTATTTAAATGTTCACCATAGATTGCAACAACTCACCTTAGCAGTGAACACTGACTGATGAAATATATTGACGTTCATTCTCTGTAAAACACGGAACATTAACTTTGGTCCCCAGCAAGCCAGAAACACTATTATAATAGTTATTAACATTTTAATAACCTGAAATAGATGATAAAAAATAGATATTTTACAAAACGTTTACGTTAGATGGCTTTCAGTCGTTTAATATTAGTTTTTTTTTATTTCCACGTCAATTTTCAATATTTCATAATATGAGGGATTCCTTCAGAATGAAGATTGAATTGCATTTGACCAGGTTATGAGGGTAATTTAAAAATTTGTGTAAAATTTGTTTTCTTGTAAAACCAAACGAGACATCGTGATCTGGCATTAATGTTATAATATTATTGTTGACATTTAAAACGAATAAATCTCTCCCTTGCTGTCATTATCTCTGATAAAAACAAATCTTCTCATAAACGCCTTTGTACCGACAAACTTCAGTAGGTGTATTAATATTATATTTATATCGTGCTGATTCAACAAGAGTATTCTTTTATCATAGTAATCAAATATTGAAGTTATATAAAATGTTACGTTCTCTTTTTAGTGCGGTCTGAAAAAGTAAAATATTCACAATATTTGTCAAACAAATTCTATTTACAATAGGAAAATAACATAAAAATCCAATTTCATTTTTCTCTAGAGTGTTAACGACGTAAGCCTTCGCTCTAATTTTTAGACCGAAACATCTGCCCTTATTCTAGCCTCTGATGGCTATTTTCAAAGTTGTCGGCTGTGTAGAGACAGAAAACCTACAGTACCTGTTTTATGAAGTTTTGACCGCACCGCCAAGGGTACGTGGTTTTTAAATTTACTTCGCGAAACCCAAAGTTTGTAAAGTGGGTATTTTGGTAGTTCAATCATACCATCATCATTTGCCTTGACTCTAAATAAGTGTTGGGCATTACCGTGACCTTCGTTTTGTTAGTATCAAGTGAATCTGTCAACTTTGATCACTGAAAATTCTAAACCAAATTTTATCAGAGGAGAAATATGGTTTGTGGTTGTGCTTCTTTTTTTTTCCGTTTAAATTATTCTATTTTTAATTGCAAAGAAAAACCCTATAAAGATGATTCAGTAAAATAAAAATGATGACTTTAACATAGATAAAATCAAGGAACACCTTTGTATTCCACCTGCAACAGATAATTTATCTCTTTTAAGACTTACTGAGCTAACCTCAAACGCCAAAATTTCCAGCTCCAGTATATTTGTAGAAATGAATTCTAATGTTAAAAAGTTTGTTTGATGCTCAGATAGAAATGAGGGTGTACGCAGGAATAAACACTCAAATCTCGTACATTAATAAGAATCGGTGGTACAATATAAACGTTATTGAAACACGAGACTTAAACATGCTTCTTTTGAGTTTTGCACAAAGGTAACAACACATCTTTCTAGTTTTCTTCTTACGATAATAGCAACTTAGATGTTACTAATAATAATGAGGTTTTCTAGAAGTCATAACAAACTACAGACCTAAATATATCAATATAAACAGCTATGATCTATCTTCTATCGGGATATTATTATTCAATTTAAAGATACAGTATTACTTGTAAAATAATAAATGTGCTATCCGAAGAAATAATATTATATAAAACATAAGCAATAATAGTAAAACAATATTATAAAGAAGTCCAAGATCAAACAATTGATTTATACATTGTGTTAACTTCTTTATATGTATAACCCTTCTGTACTTGTAAATCTATCTTCTCGACATGTATCCTTGGACATTGCTTTAATAACACCTAATACAAACCCCGTGTTGTTAAAAAATATACAATTGCCTTGAGGTAAATAATATGTAAAAACGATATACATATTGACTTTTTTTCATGTTGAATATTTAGTAGCTCGACTGTATCAGATACGTTATTTAAAATGTATACCTCTTCATATCCAGATTCTCGAAAACTATGAAATGAAACCACAACGAACATTATTTGCCACTTTGAAGTAATACAGGTGATATTTCTTTCATGTAAATTTTTCGAGTTTTTAATTAACGTGCATGTCAAACTGAAATCAAAATCAAAAATCTTGATTTCAGAGATCATGTTGTATTTATATTAGACAGACAAAACATCGGTATTCTCTGATTCTTATAAACATTACAAATGTTTGATGGTAAGGACATGCATTGTCAACTTATCCGACCTAACTTAATGTTTTTTCTTTGTCCTTGTATATTCAGGGTCTCGAGTAAAGAGATGTTCGGACCTCTTTTGTAACAGACTGGTGATGATTATGCACGTGCATTTTGTCAACTGACCTACAAAGCCTTGTTTTAAGCATCAGAAATACCATATAGATCATTGTATTTCAAAAATATATATTCTCAGAAGAAAAAGTAATTATGCAAATCACTCTAAGATTTAATACAATTCCCTTCTTTATCTAACTAAAGAGTAAGATACACACCTGTTTTCGAGCCCTGAGAACTTCTACACTATGTTCACGGGTGGCTTTATTAACTAAACTGCGTCTTGATCTAATATGGAAATGTCTAGAAATGGACGGGTTTTCAGGAACTGTTAATCTTTGTCTTGCTTCTATATCTGGAGAAGACGGTGCCATTAATTTACTGAAATAGAAATTAATCCGATTATTATTTCAATGAAATGATTTCTTGTTTCTAGAGCTATAAATTGATGAATAGTTTATTTATTTTAGTCACACGCTTAATTTTCACATTCCGTGTCGGTGTCAGACAAAAGAATTGCTGTAATCAACGTAATTGGCTAAAATATATATATTTGTATATCAAACCTTTTTTTCATGGTTTTGAAAAAATTTAAAACTCGTTTCCAATAGCGGAGAAATTTAGTTTTTAATGCTCAAGTTTGAGGAGCATATAAATATCAAGTTAGTATTTATAAACTTTACCATAGTTTCAATACAACAAGAACCCCCAAGACTAAGTTTGGCTTCATATTCACCATAATTGAATACAAGATCACCAAAATAGTTATCTCTTTGAGCGCATAGGTGCAGTAAATCGATACAGATTCCAATTTAGTCTAAATTAAGGTAAGGTTTAAAATTGTTTGAATCTGGTTTAGTTGCTAAGTCTTCAGAAAAGTGACAAATGAACAATCACATGAAAACTTGTTGATTTTACAATGTCCTTAGAAGGTTGCATATTGATTAAATCATACATGAAAATAAGAAATCATAAATATTATGCTGTCATATAGTCACTTAAAGGTACGATTGGTTTAAACTACCCAATTATCAGTCAGACGTAGTTTTTCCAACTAAGCGTTTTAGAACGTCACTATATCAAAATCTGTTTTAGTGGGATTACAAGAATTGCAGACAACTGAATGAAAATTCGAATGGCGCAAATCAATCAGTATCCCCTATACTCATTAAAAATTCACAAAACCTCTTTAGAATCGCTTTAACACTTGCACATATATAGGCTATTAGATAAAAATCGATTTCAATATGTTTCAGGAAAATAGTAAATAATTATGATTTATGTGTCGTTTGATATTCATTCATGCTGTCATGTCACGAGATTTTCAAGATTGTTTTCGAGATATCTCATCACAAGTGTATGTAATCGTCTCGAATTCTTACAAACCTCTACAACAGAACACAGGTCAGTCAGACAAACCGATCCTATTATCCCTCTCATAGATTTGCTAAAAGAATGAGGAGAAAATCGCCATATTAGTTTATACTGTCTATTGTCTTTGATCTTATCACATAGTATTATGAAATCGTGACCAGCAAGCCATTAGTTAGATCTATATCAACTATTTAAAAAGGGTCTTAAGTCGTTACTTTAATCATAATCTAAATTGCTTGGTTTTTATTAGAAGTGTTCTGGTCGTCATAGTATTTAATTTACCAGCTGATAAAATTTATGCTCGGCCAAAGCAACACAAACGATCTATATAGGAGTTATAACTTACAAGTCAGGGCAGAATATCTACACGTTAGAATATTAGAATAATGTTTCTGGGATATTTGAAATATGTATTGCCTTCCTATACATTTCCTATATCAAATTTAGGAAATGTTCCTTTAACTTTAACCAAATAGATTTTCATTAATATTTCTTAAGAACACCCATACGCATATGTCAAGAAAACTACGAACACACGAGATCTCCACAACAGATGATGCATTACAATACCACCCAATACGCTGCCAAAATAAACACAATTCAAATTTCCGCCTATATACGTACGTTGACATTTTGAAACTCATACAAAAAATATATTAATTAAAGTCATAATATACTATTTAAATAATTGTACAAGCTTTTTCAGAAAAATAAAATACGTAAAGTTTAAAGATCAATTTGGATGTGCAAGTAGCTTTTTTGTTATATTTATTTTGGTTCACGTTGTGTTTATGTTCTACACCTACGGTGTATTTTTAAAAACAATATTCCTGTTAATCAGACACACTTATTAAATTGATTGAATAATTCTTGTAATTATCGACACCAATGTTCAATTTCATTATTCATAATAAGATGGGAAATTCGTGTGTATTTCCTTTCAATAATTGAAAACTATTCTCACAGATCGAAGACCCTATACTAATAGAATACGTTTTGATAAAAACAAATGTCATATACTAAGCGTTCAGACAGAAATATAAGAATTAAAACAAGCTGCTATAAATGTAGAAAAAAATGGTCTCACCTTTCAGCGTTGTTATTGGGTCTAGTTAATGTTATTAACTGTCTGGAACTTATCCATAATGAATGAATAACAAATACATAACAGAAGAATAAAATAATTGTAGGAGCAACAAACATCACTAAAAACTGATATATAGCAAAGACAAGTCTATCTGGTTTTTCAATACCAATATCTGCACAATATATCATAATCACAGAAGTTTCATTTTTATAGAATACATTCCTCTCTGTATCCTGAAAAAATAAATTACAATCATTACTTCAAACATATTTTTATGTCAACATCATTACACATTAACAAGGTAGTATACGACCTTTCAGCAAATACTCCATGACAGCTTGAACAAAATTAATCTACTTCAAATTCTAATTAAATTCATGTTAAAATCAGTTCTCCACAATCGTGCTCGATAACTTGGTCACGGGAAATTAGATCGCCAGGCACAAGGTATTATGGTCACGTTAATACGGGCACAAGGTATTATGGTCACAGGAATACGGCTACAAGGTATTATGGTCACAATAATACGGACATAATCTATTTTGGTCAAAGTTAGACGGGCACAAGGTACCAGAAAACACCCGTCAGACTTTTGATGCTATTATTGGCTGACAGCATCACTAAAACAACTAGCTGAATTGGGCCTTACAATGTTTATAGATATATTACGATGTAGCTTATATCACTACTTCTATTTCCGATCGCGGATCAATGGCGACAATCGAGCCGCACAATTTTTCGTCATCGCCCTGAGCATCAGAATGAGGATGAACTGAGACATCAAAATCCATTGGTCATCGGTGAGCCCCCTGCTGAATTACCTGGAAGCGAAACGTAAGTTTATCTCCCCATATTAATTTACAAAAATATTTAGATGACTATTATTGACCATGGCATGCCTGTAGAAGTACGACTGGTTTTAAATATAAATGTTATGTTACTGAACTGAACATCCATTCCAGGATCGGAAGGTCCCAAGCCCAGCACATAAAGGTAATTCCAGGACGGCCCACTGTCTGGACTGTGCTCTCATTAATGTGACCAAATTAACTTGTGCCCTTATTACTGAGACTAAATTACCGTGTGTCCGTATTACTTTGACCAAAATAGATTGTGACCGTATTGTTGTGACCATAAAACTTCGTGAGCGTATACTAAGAGAAGTTAATTTTACCACCGGGTATCCATACAACGTGTTTTTCTCGACTTATTTATAAATCAAACATTGTACACGAAAATAGGTGACGCATTTTGCCGCCGTTGCCGAGTTAGTTGCTCATGAAATATGGGTCAAAGTGAAGGATTCAGAATATCTGAGGAAACATCTAAGACATAAAATTTTTTTTCGTTTTTTTAACTTTGACGAAATTTGGTGTTACACCACTGTATATATAATAATATATTCATCAGATGGACTTTCAAAGTGCCATGACTAATGAAAAAGAATCTTTATATAAGCCTAGGTAATTATCAAAAAAAAAGGCTTCAAAGAGCCTTTCAAAATTACTTAGTTTAATGGATTATTACTTATATGAAAGCAGGCTGGCAATTATTCTGTTTATATAATAACAGGCTTTATGAAGGTTATATCATCAACATAAAAACAAAAATGGTGGAAAATACTGATATTTTGCACACTGATTTTCGCTGCATTTTTGGATGCATATCACGTTCTCCGTCAACAACAACAACAACGGCTTCTTTATTCTTTGCTACGTGGACAATGGAGATTAAAGAGGAGTTGTAGCGAAACATACGAATTGGCCAGTGGGTGGCATAATATAATATCTGGTGTTCTAACTAATTACTAATTTAATAAAAACATAATTTTGACCATTTTATTGCAACTATCTAGCATATTGAGAATATTCTGGCTATAACTTTGCTAAGCTTTTCCCTCCTCATTACAGGATTGTATGGAGAAAGGGAAAGCCTACCCTCTGACTGTGTTGTGGTACCGTATGGGTAAAGGAATGGTTCTAACATGGATCGGAGCAACGCCGACATTTTTTGTCTGGTCTAAAAGTGCCGATACTCCATCAGTAAATCAAGTTTTAGTCGTCATGTTGGTTAATAAAAGTATGCTTGACGCATGCGCTGTGAATCTCCAGACACCCGCTGGCCTGCCTCATATAACCATAACTTTGTTTTTTTGGTTTTATTGGATAATAGAAGGATTCTGTCGTATAATTTTAACACTAGGTAAGTTCATTAATGAACAAAGACTCGTTTGGGCCAAATTTCTGACATTTCTCACATTCCGTTGAAAGCTACAAAATGAAAGTCTAATTTCTTTTTTCATTTCCTTTATGAGAAAAATAGTTCGCCTCAGCTGGCTTATTGTCATAATAATGGCCATCTTCACAATGTCAAGCTATTACGAATTTTGTCTTATATCTTGACTGCAATGGTCACCTTTCTTTATCACGACATTCAGTGATTTGATTGGATTGTATGCCAGCGAATACAGCCAATCAGAGCCCACAACAGAATGGCTGTAATAATTATGGTTAATTGTTTACAGATTTTAGTCGCTAACGTAGAATCCAGCCATATCACAATACTTACAAACCGTTGCTATTGCAGTCAAGGTATAAGACGCAGTTCGTATTTACTTGATATCGTGAAGATGAATATTGGACAGAAAGGTAAACTACTGCGACACGAGCAGAACTGAAGTCTATTATTTCCACCAGTAAATTGTGATTGTTTCGGGCAATAACAGTGAAAATACCTATGAAATAAATAAACTGACAGATAGAGAACATTATATATTACTGTATTTTAATGTGGGCTGATACAGATACATATGTTTAATGTACTCGTAATTTAGGATCCGTATGGTATTGTATATTGCTAACGATTTTTTTTTGTATCTTTGTCTTTACCGTTAAAAGAAATTTCAAAAGAAAGAACCTTTCATTAACTAATTTCTTAAAAACTAGGAACTAACAGATAATTTATCAAATAAAATAGCATTTCCTTTAGTACTTCTGTTTTATAATGGCACTTTAGATAATTGATACGGGACTGCCTGAATTGACAACCGACAACACTTGCAGTCATATTTATCGACAAAAAAATCTTATCCTAAGCAAGAATGCTTAAAAATAGAATGTTTGATAAACCAGAGCTTTAAATAAACCATTTTGCCCTTCTCTACAGACACAACAGGAAGGAAGTTAGTAATTTCGGTGTGGATTATGCAATATTTCCACATTAACTTATGCTACAGGCATTGATTATTATCATAATTATCGGTGCCGGATAGCTTTTGAGGCATGATGAACCGCCATTCCATGCCATTACTGAATATCCTCCCGATAATAGCATGTATGGGTGCTGATTACATTGATAGTAATTTCATGCTTTTAAATTGTTACCAAAGGATCAATCAGGAATAATTGATATTTTTTTGCAAGTTTGCATGCTGTAGGACATTGAACCTTCCAATACCTTTTGTGATGATTTTCTGATCTAGAGTAGGTGATTTATTGCCTTCTAAGTCAAATCCTGTTGTTGAAACTTTGAACTAGTGAACTTCATAAACACGCTTAGAACGAGTTAAAGGGAAAGATGATTGGGAGGGGGGACAGGGTTAATCATGAATATAAATTATGTAAATAATCTTCAGAAGTACTAGAAATGTATGAAAATCGCATCATCCCTTTAAAAATACTTAAAACAATGAATTTCAATGTTTTTTTTAATATGTCTTTTCTATATATCACAGTGTATCTCAAAAAGACGAGTCGTCATTTCAACATTTTGGATAATTCTGGACACACATGGATTGGATGGCTCAAATTTCGACGGTGAGCTGTGAACACTATTACTTATTGGCTTGGTTAAAAATTATGAGACTAAAGTACGATTAGATGCTTCTGTCCCTTTAACCCTGATGGAAAATACGATACAGATATTCCGATTAAGTTGGAAATCAGAACTTTCCGCATTCTCTAAAAAGAAACGAATCTAAAAAAAATGCACAATGATTCATTGCTACATTCTCAGTTTCTTAAGATAAGAAATAAGATAGTTGTTGGTTATCTTTGTCTGTAGTGTATTAGTATATATTTGACCTTATTCGTGGGTTAAACGATTCGATTAACTGTTTAATCTACATCTAGAGTACTACGTCTAGCCGTGAGAAGAATATAATATGGTGATTTCGAATACTTTACGCAATGGTTTGGCATAATTGAACGTCACATAGACATTATACAGACAAATTACTCTCATAAACTTAAGACTCTTAATAACATCTCATTAAGGAAGATGATGCCATGAGATCACCTATCAAAGTTTTTCCTGTATATTCATCCCTAGTGGTCCATTACGACGAGTGTTAGTTGAAGCAAGATAAATAACTTAAAAGTGCATATACCAGCAAAAGAATCGTTGGTTTCTAGAAATAAAATTTCATGTGGTCAAATACTGAACAAGACAAGAGCATTGTAGACGTGATTGATATTTTCAGTAAATCTTAAGAAGAGCCCACAAGAGTCCACAAGATGAAATATTGCTCTCATGGCACTAACAAGCATAGACGATAGCAGTGAGCCACCATTGATTGTTTTGCTGAATATCCTTAATTCTATTCATTTCAATGAATGCGTCTTAACTATAATAGAATGACATTTCTGGAACAAGACCACATCACAAAATGGTTTCAACAGAAATGACTTTAAACTTCAATATAGATGTGCCCATGGGAGACAAATTTCGTGTAGATTTAACAGCGGAATTCCTTACTTGTATTTGAGAGAAAAAAACCGTAGGGTCTATAGATGAATGTTTAATGATTAATGACAGCTGAAATTAGCACGGAAATACCGAGAGATGATAGATCACTTCATTTTTTATTTTCAGACAAGAATTTCTCTAAAATTGTTTTACTTAATATGGATGCTGGAAACTGTTTTTAGACTTTGTGTGGTTAAAAAAGACCATACCAGATATAATGGATACACAATTTTTTTGTTGTTCTACATTTTGTACATCAAAATACTGAATCTTCAATAGCCCCTGGTAAAGTAAGCTTTTGTTAAAGGAGTATCGCGTTTCAATAGAGAAAATATTGGGCATATTCTGGTTTGATCTTCAATACCACTTTGTTTTTTTTGATCATTTTGTTTTGGTTCTCGACGACACAGAGGTAAAGTCGTTTTCATAATTAACAGTTATACTGATGACTACAGGCAAGTGGCATAACATCTAAATATCAGAAATCAAATATCAAATATTTAGACATAAATATACCATAATAATAACCTCTTCAGACATGCAATTTTTTTTTTTCTTATTAAATCAAATGTTTTTTAGATCAATTTTACTTCAAAATATATGCGCTGCAATAACAATTGTTGACACGAATTTAGAATACATACACCAGACTTCGGTAAAATAAATGGATTAGATTGATTTCATCATTTTAACCATTATCGGTATATAACATTCTGGCATGGAAAATTTATTTTCAATATTAAAGGAGTAGTAAATCTAATTGATTCTTTCCGAGGTCAAAACCGTCTAGACACATTATGTATTTTGAATGCCCGATAGTGCAGCATATTGGTTTTCTAAACATAATATAATATAGTAGTCGTCGAGAGTAAAAAGTTGCAAAAATTTTATTATAGAAAATTGTTATATGCTACTATACATACTTTAGAAACCATGAACACATTCCCAACACAGTACGGAGAATTAATGTTAAATGGACAAACCTAAAGGTGTAATGATTACTTTTGTGAAAACGCAATATGACGTCAAACGTTGAAGAAATTTTATTCTTTAATTAATGATGCTCTTGGGTCTTTTTGTTTCGCAATCTTTCAAAATTTATGGAGCCAACAATCAACATGTGGATGTGTTGTAATTTCATTTGACTGTACGTTCGTTAAATTGAGGCTTAGTTGATGCATTGTTCGTTAAATTAAGGCTTAGTTGATGCATTGTTCGTTAAATTGAGGCTTAGTTGATGCATTGTTCGTTCCATTGAGTCTTACCTGGTCCACGGTCCGTCCAACTTACCTAGTCTCTATTGTTCATTCTATTGAGGCTTACCTGATCCAATGTTCGTCCTAAAGAGACTCACCTGTTCTCTTTCGCTCGTTGTATTAAGGCTTACTTAGTCTATTTGTTTGCCCATGGGGTAAACCGGGTCTACTGCTAGTTGTATCCATTGATCGCTCTATTGATGCTTACCTGATCTTTTGTTCGTATTATTGAGACTCACGAGATCTATTGGTCGCACAATTGAGGCTCATTTAATCTATTGAGTGCTTACCAGATCTACTGTTAGCCCTTGAGGCTATCCGGATCTATTGCTCGTTCCATTGAGTCCTACCTGATCTACGGTTGATTCTATTGAGGCTAACTTGATTCATTGTTCGTCCTATTGATGGTCTATTAAAAATTCCGATTTGTCTGATCCATTACTCGTACTATTGAGTCATACCTGATATATGGTTCGCTCTACTGGGGTAAACCTGATCTCTATATATCTATGGTTCGTTCGATTGAGGCTTACCTGATTTATTGCTCGTTCTATTGATACTTACTTAATTTGTGCTAGCTCTACTGAAGCTTACCTATGGTTCGTTCTATTGAGTCCTACCACTTACTCATGCCAAACTGTTCATCTAGCCCTTACTTCCACCTTTTTATCTTCGTAAGACATTCCTGTTCTCTATATTAGCCTCGATCGACCGGGGTCGCTGTGGGGCCATGCCGATTACCGAATGCTCGATGAGCAAAACCTCCAACAAACATATCTTATTTCATCCATACAATTAAATTTACTGAACCATATCTGCTGTCTTGCAACCTTGATACAGTTGAGAGAACCTCATTTAGTGTAAATAGTTTGTAAATTTTTCCCTAATTTGTATTGTATTTTTGAATGGTAATGGATTTATATAAGCTTAAAGCTTGTTTCCAAAACCATATGTTTATCTATATGTATATTGTAATATTTGTAATTCTTGAATAAATATTGTTTAAAAAAAAAAAAAGTACATTACATACAAAGAACATTTTCGAAAAGGCAAATTACTTCCTTTGAAATTAATAGTAGCTTATTCCTATTGTGTCATATTCTGCTCAAAAGTAGGACAATTTACGATCTTCTGGGATCCTCGTACCCATTTTCTACAATTGCACTTTGGTATCTCTTGTGCAATAAGAGGTGAATACTTCTCTGTAAAGATTATTGAGTAAATTTAAAACGTTAGTAAAGTTGACCAAGAGGTCACAGATGTATCTTATAGCGTACCCCCAATGAGTTCTTGTATTTCTGGTTTGGTTCTACGACTAGGATCATCTTTTCATTCAAGTTATGTGATATTGATGCATGTTTTTATATAAAATATTGCTTCGTATCTCAACCTGCCCTGGTGTATCAGAATTACTACCAACTACTAATTAAATAACACATTTGTAAGTAGGTTAATGACAGTTTAATGTTCATGTCGTCTCTTTCTATCCTATTGACTACTGACTAAATGTCTCTGTTGTATTTATTTACTCAATTACTCCGATTTTTCTTCCACAAAAACACAAAACAACGACTCATTGAAAAACAGCAATTGTTTTTGCACCAATTACTTCAAAAATTGAAGAAGATAATGAAAACATATCGGTTAAAACTGCATCTCAAGTCACTTTTTCTCTCAAATTAAAGCCACTCATTTCGATATCTATACCAAACGGTGATAAAATCTGTTTTTTTTTTATACTTTTTGCCTTGTTTATTATGGTTATAATGATTAAATATAGATATAGTTACTTTGGATTTCCTTGTACTCTTTGACAGTATTTTTTCAATGCCGTGCTTGGTTCTAGCCCCTGGAAGAGACTTCGAATACTTCCCTGTACCTGATATCTTAACAAACAGATAGCAGCAGGATAAAGCTTGATAAATAATAACCACTGGTAAAAAGAAACAAAAAAAAAGAGATACCAAAAGAAAAGAAACCTTCACCTTTTCGTTTCAGTAATTAAAATATTTTTTAATTAATTGTGGTAACCTACACGCCATCGCGCTTTTGAAGTGGAACTGTTTGCAATTATATGACCAAAAAACCTTCTTGTGCAGTTGGTCGATCAAACCTATACAATTTTAAGAAATATATCAAGAACATTTTTTTTCTTCACTTAATTCTCAATTCACTTAATTTAATCATTATTTAGATAAAATTGACAACGTTAACAAACATGCAGAAATGAAAACATATTGTATTTAAATAAAAGTTTCTAAAAGATTAATGCTGCTCATTATGTTCCCAGGGCGTTTGATATCTGCACTGATAACGTTCTGAAGACTTAATGACAAGAAGTAACAACGGAATAAATGCAACTGTAGCTATAAACCTTGGCTAAAAATGATTACTTTTAAATACCTATTCGCGCGAATAGATAAATATTTTCTGGTTTTATTTGTTGAATCAATGATCGTGATAAAGCAAAACATGTAAAGGTTGGCTTTGTGAAGTAATATTTATCAACCTCCGTGATTGACACTCATACTTTTAAAAAGTCGTTAATATAAATGGCATAATTTATTTTCTAAAAGATGCACTAGACAAATATCAAAGAACTTGGATGTTACCTACCATAACATGGAATGTTGGCGAGGATAATAACAGAGCAATCAACCAAACTCCAGGAAGAATCTTTTTGGTATTACCCAATGTACACCAGGCTCTTGACAATATTGGATGAACTATAACTGTATATCTGTAATAGAAATTAATATAAACGAAATAATATAACCTCTTAGAATGGACATAAATTGTTATAACCAAACTACAAAGTATTGATATATAATGTGTCATCCCATAAACTAAGAAATAAATGAAAAACGCTTAAAAATATTAAAGTATGTTTTTCAATAAAATAATTTTTTTATGAATGCTTTCTAGTTGTGTGGATTTATTGGATTATACAGAGATTATGCTGTATGGTTATGACATTAGGTAAGTCCACTGCTACTAAAGATAGGCTACTCATTTTGGCCAAGTTTAAAAATCCCAAGAGGTAATCGGTCATCCTAAGAGGTAATATACCTTTAACACTTGATATCGGACTGAAAAATCATATGTCAATCATCATTTATGTCGAATACAATCTGTGTTAATATTTATTTCTCAATAAAAAGATTATTGAAAAGATACTAACAATGAAATTTGAATAAAGAGAAGGTAGTCTATTTCAATATCAAAAACATTAAATATTTTTCTATCATGTTTAGTTTAATATTGCAAATTTTTCATTACTAATCACCATAAAACATCTCAGCAATTCCCGATAAATCAGCAGGGATTGGAGATGCAGGTATTGATAAATCTTAAAAACTCTATATTTTTTTCTAATTATGTAATTCTCTTTTTATCCAAATTAAAGTGGTAGTGTGTTCAAATTTGCAGAGATTACAATTTATTATAACATAATCATATATTATAATTGTAATAATGAATTTGAAATAAATGTTATGCTGAATTGGTTAATAATCGGATTTTTTGTTTTGATTTTTTTTAAAGTTTTTACATAATTTGCAGAGTGATTTGTAGTAAGCTTATGTTATCATGATTAGGAATTATAAAATGTCAATCCGCCAGATTTCTTCTTCTTAGAAAAGAAAAGTTCACTTATAGTGACAATGTTTGTGAGAGTCAGCAAAAATATCTCGCCAAATCCAAAGAGCTGAAATGATCACATTACAATACTTTTCTACAACTCGAATATAACTTAATACAAACAATGATTCCTTATGATTAATGCAGGGAAATCCTGTTTATCTACCAATGTATACAGGATAATCTACAAGTACCTATTTCTCTACAAATGTATACAGGATAATCTACAGGTACCTATTTCTCTACAAATGTATAATCTACAAGTACCTATTTCTCTACAGATGTATACAGGATAATCTACAAGTACCTATTTCTCTACAAATGTATACAGGATAATCTACAAGTACCTATTTCTCTACAAATGTATACAGGATAATCTACAAGTACCTATTTCTCTACAAATGTATAATCCACAAGTACCTATTTCTCTACAAAAGTATACAGGATAATCTACAAGTACCTATTTCTCTACAAATGTATACAGGATAATCTACAAGTACCTATTTCTCTACAAATGTATAATCCACAAGTACCTATTTCTCTACAAAAGTATACAGGATAATCTACAAGTACCTATTTCTCTACAAATGTTTACAGGATAATCTACAAGTACCTATTTCTCTACAAATGTATACAGGATAATCTACAAGTACCTATTTCTCTACAAATGTATAATCTTCAAATACCTATTTCTCTACAAAAGTATACAGGATAATCTACAAGTACCTATTTCTCTACAAATGTATACAGGATAATCTACAAGTACCTATTTCTCTACAAATGTATACAGGATAATCTACAAGTACCTATTTCTCTACAAATGTATAATCCACAAGTACCTATTTCTCTACAAAAGTATACAGGATAATCTACAAGTACCTATTTCTCTACAAATGTATACAGGATAATCTACAAGTACCTATTTCTCTACAAATGTATACAGGATAATCTACAAGTACCTATTTCTCTACAAATGTATAATCTTCAAATACCTATTTCTCTACAAATGTATACAGAATAATCTACAAGTACCTATTTCTCTACAAATGTATAATCTACAAGTACCTGTTTCTCAACAAATGTATACATGATAATCTACAGGTACCCTTTGCTCTACATAATATATGCAGGATATTCTATAAGTACCTGTATTTCTACAGATGTATGCAGGATCTCCTACAAGTAACCTCGTTTCTTTACAAATGTATACAGGATAATCTACAAGTACCCTTTTCTCTACAGATGTTTACAGGATATTCTACAAGGACCCATTCCTCTGTAAATGTATACAGGATATTCTACAATGACCTGTTTCTATACAGACATATGCAGGATATATTCTACAACTACCCTTTTCTCTAAGGATGTATACAAGGTATTCTACAACTACCTTTTCTCTACAGACATATACAGCATATTCTATCAACTATCTGTTTGCCTACAAATTTATACAGGATGTTTAACAAGGACTTGTTTCTCTCCAGAACTGATGTATACAGGATATTCTACAAATACTTGTTATTCTACAAATGTATTCAGATATTCTACAAATACTTGTTATTCTACAAATGTATTTAGATATTCTACAAATACTTGTTATTCTACAAATGTATTCAGATATTCTACAAGGAATTGTTTTTCTACAAATGTATACAGAATATTCTACAAATACTTGTTATTCTACAAATGTATACAGATATTCTACAAATACTTGTTATTCTACAAATGTATACAGATATTCTACAAATACTTGTTATTCTACAAATGTATACAGGAAATTCTACAAGGACTTGTTTTTCTACATGTATACAGGATATTCTACAAGGACTTGTTTTTTTCTACAGACGTATACACGATAACTACGAGTTCCTATGATAGACGCTTTTTTGTTTTTTTGTGTAGGTTGAAATGTATGAAAACTATATACCAAAATCTAGAGAAATATGTCCCTTCACTTATCTGAAAACATTAACTAAAAAATCCAGCCAATAATTTTTAACGCCAAAACTTTTTTTCAAAGACTACGTAAACTTTTTAAGTTTGTTATCCTTACTGGAAGATTAAAGAAAACTACTGTACGGATTTAAGCAAAATAAAGTAGAGCAATATGTATCCTACTTATTTTTCACCAAAAACAAAGTCAAATTGTTAAATTAACAATCAGTACTATTTTTTCAAATCTATAGATGTTAATAACATATTTTAGAAATATTTTCAGATATAATTTAAGACGTTTTTGATAATGAAAGATTTGCATACTGCCCCTTTAATAATAATGCAGGCAATTAAAGCAATAACTCATATATTGATCATGATTGTAATTCTAGATTGAAGAAATGAACTCGTGTTTAGGTTTTTGACTTCATGTTATGTATTACTTGTATGAGTTGAAACCTTGAAATCCATTTCATTTCACCTTAAATAAAAATTCATAGTTTGAGAGGGATTGAAGTGTTGACCAATATTATTCCGTTACATCAACTGCTGTTAATGAAAGTACTTGAAGGTCCTTAACTTTTGCCATTTAGTTCTTTCGCAATTTCAAAATATTGAAACTTCAAATTCTCAATAGACCTCAGGAACGATAAAGGAATGTCAATATAATACAAACTTTAGTATACATTCCATCAAATACCATCATTTAATCATAAAGATATCAGAAAAAAACTAATTTGAGTAATACGTTATTGTCTCCTTAAAACGATTTTTTTTATAGTTATTTGGAACGACATTTTTATATTTTCTGTCGAAATTCAAGATTTATGTGATATCTCAATCGACGTAAAAAAGCAGGATTTAAGATGGCCTTCATTCATAGGGCACTTATAATTTTAAATTAGCCTTACTTTTCGAATCTGTTTTACTCGTTTACAACATGAATCTGATGTATTAAACCGGTTTCGGATTTTTTGTAATGAGTAGGGCCTAAGCAATCTTATACCAAACGTATGATTTCGCTGCCATACGTTATGGGTTAGTTTGTACCTGCACAAAATTTTTGACGAATGCCATCATACGTGGGTCATACTAAAAACCTTTTACTAAAGGCACCATCACACCATGGCGATTTATCTAGGATAAGGCGAAGTGTCAAAGTTCTCTAAAACGCTGACATACGGTGAAATATAGAAGCTTTTTTTTTTAATTTTGGGCTTATAGGCTACATAGTGTTTTCATAACGAATTGCACATATACATTACGTAATATTAACTAAGATAAAACGTTTCGAAAACTCATAGATACATTTTGTATAGGTCAATAGTCGAAAGCTTGGACGAGGACCGAAGGTCCGAATACTACGTCATTGTCATTATATTAGACCAAGCTTGAGACCATTAACCAACTTAAAATACAGTTCACAAACAATAACATCTACTCAGGCACGTGCTTTAATATAGGTTCTCATGAAATCCAATAACATAGCATAATAATACAGACAAACTTTCAAAATGTCCGGTCAGGATTGATACAAAATATACCTGTTCCGAGTTAAATACTGTTATTCACTTATTATTTTGTCGTTCATTTTCTATTAAATGATATGGATTAAAATGGATATTTACTTACTTCATTTCATTTGATTCATGGATTACACTTGTAATATTTATATGTATGATACAGGTCAGTTTTTCCCTTTATGGCTCATTCAATTATTTCATATTTCAGAATCGAAATACAAGATGGCATAGCGAGGATTTGGCAAATGTATTTAATCTAGGAAGGCGGAGAATATATCCAACGCGATTTTGGAAGTGAGAATCGAATAAATTCACTCTATATGACCACTGTCATGGCATTTATTGTATCGTTTTGTGATTTGCATAAATTTTGCATTGCTAGATTACATTAGCAATTAGTGATAAGGATGACAGTATTGACCGAGCTATTAGAAATATTCTTTCTTTCTTTCGGTAGATATACCTGGCGTCATAAGTAACATAACAGGATCCTTATATAATCCAATAAATCAAAAAAACTATAAAAAAAAACGCTTGTCGTTCGTTGAAAACGTTATAGATAAGTTAAAAGTACACCGAAGCACGTTGGTAGCCTTTACGTCGGCTCACATGCGTGGAACGTAAGCTTAGCTTACCTAAGACG